CCAGCCCGAATCACCCAAAGCCATGAATTGTCCGGGACTTCCAGTGATAATAGCTGTGATTGGCCAAGCGTGATGTTGAAACCCAGGAAAGATCACTCGGATTTTCATCTCAGTTAGGTAGGTGTTGATGATGGCTCTACGCCCACCAAATCCATTGCCATTCAAAACCAGGGGCAAATCTCACGTGTCACCCAATGGAAACAAGAAAGCGTGCCCTGGGAAAGGGAAGCCCTCTAGGAATTGCCCCAGGTTGACCCCCTAGTAGTCAACTGGGGTTGGCTCATTTGTGGGGTCAACATTGCCCTCCTTTCAGAGAACCAGCAAGCAGTTCTTGTTGGGAATTGGCAAATCCTTTTGGGCTCCTTCCATGAATGTTGACCTCCTACTAAGCAACCCCAGTTTATTCATGGAGCTTTCTTTTTGGGTTCTCCAACAGGTATGACTCCCCACAAAACCCAGTAAAAAAAAAAAAAAAAAAAAAAACGCCTATTAAGTCAACTGGGGTTGATGGGGCATAACCTATGGCTCCATTTTGGGGTGGATGAACATCCATTTGGGGGGTTTCCAGGGTTTTGACCCACAGCCATATGGGGTCAACGCCAAGCTGCCCTGATCCACAGGTTGGCCTTCCACGCGCCCACTGGGCGACTGGCCTCCGTGTCCCTCGACCGCCTGGTGGTGCTGGACCCGGATGGGTCCCAGGCTCGGGACGTGAGGCCTTGGTTTTTGCGGCCGAAGGGAAAACCAACCGCGCAATTCAGAGATTGTCCAGGGTCCACTAAAACAGGCGCGCCCATTTCCTGCATGGAAGAACGCTTTGGGTGAGTGGCCACGTTGGAACTACAAACTGAGAAAGGTGCAGAAAGGGGCAGGCATTTGTCACAAGCATGAGTTTGGGGTCCTCTGTGCGTTGGGACAACTTGCTACGTACCGCCTTTCCCAGACCGACTTTGCTGAAGATGAGCCAACTTGACTCTTGCAAAGCTAGACTGCTAAAGAAACTGGCCATGACTGGCCTTTCCGCCACCTCTTGTGGCGATTTGTGGGCCGAGCACGCAGGATCTGGGCCTTGAGACAATATGGTGTACCATTGCTTTTGGTTTAGGTTGCCACTTTCTACGATGCCAAGGGTGTCCGCTTTGAAGTGAAGCAGTCATAATGGGCCGCTAAACGGTATCATGGAAAGCGGCTTCCTCGGTTTTCTCCCCCGAGGAACCTCGCCTTGCCTCGACTTTCTTGGGCTTGTTGCCATGAGTTCATCTTCAATCTCCCTTATGTCCAGAGGGTCATGAATGAAGCTAGGCCACATGGGTTTGTGTCAAAGGGTGCCCGCAAAAAAGTGCTTTCCTTTGGAAAACGACCTCAAAAGCAGATACCCCCCCCCACATCCCTTGCGCTTGCGCACCTTTTTGGCTTCCCTCAAAAACACCCAGCCCCAACGCGAAAAAGAAAAAGAAAGCGGGCACCCCACAAACCACCCGAAGCCCTCCAGCGCCGCGCCCAGCGCCGAGCGCCGAGCAAGCGCCGCCGAGCGCCGCCTGCGCCAGGCGCTGAGCGTCCCCTCGCCCCACGAGCGGCGCCCCAGGTGCCTCTGCTGGGCCTCTGGGGGCGATGGGCTGTGGACCTCCGACGCCTCGGGCGAGCTGAGGCGGGCGGCGTGGGGCAAGCGCAAGCAACCAAAAGCCCGGCGGTTTGGAAGGGGCCTGGCGGAAATTTGAGGCTTTCAGGAGGGTGTTTTTGCAGGTTTTGCTTTTTTTTTTTTTTTTGGGGGGGGGTGGGCTACCGCAAAGTTAAGGTTTCAAGGAGGGTTGGCGGGCTTGGGTGGGAAAACGCGGTGCCGCAAGCTGCTTGCTTGGCTTCAAGCTTTATCCATAGGGCTCAAATCTGAAGGCAGATTGAGAGCATCCTTTTGGGTGTCAAAGGAAATCCAAAGAACACCACTACTGGTTTCCGAAACGCACGGCTGCTCCATTTGTTCCCCGACTCTGCCAGGCTTTGGGATCTCACTGGCGCCCAAGTGATGGAAACCAAGCTGGCAGCGCCTGGGCAAAGCGGAGCTCCTAACCTTTTGAGATCCAGTTTTGCACCTTCAGGCTCAAGTTAAGCGACTCTGATTGTAGATTCGTCCCATAGGTGTACGTTTTAGGTTAGGTAGTACTTTGGTTCAGAAGAGGAAGTCGATGTACAGCGTGATTTCGTTTCAAGTGCCTTTGTTTCGTTGTGCATGCTTTTGAGCATCGCGCGGAGTCGCTGTGCATCCGAGAGAGAGAGAGAGAGGGGTTTAGAAGAGATGGAATGCACTGATTTAAATTGGTTGACCAGGGAACAAGGACAACGACGCCTTTTTCCATTTTCCAACTGTTTGATGTGTGTTCCCATGGTTGCTTGCCCGTGAGCCCCAATGCGAGAGGTGGAGAACGTGTCCACGCTGGTGCCGCTGGGCAACACGCTGGTCATCGCCCACGAGACGGGCTTCGTTTTTCTGGAGGATGGCAAGCAGCGGCAGCAGCGGCTCGCTGCCATTCGCGCGAATGGCGTTGCGGTGCCCCTAACTGGTGTGCCAGAAAACTGCCAGCAAACCCCACAGGTTCCTTCCTCAAACCCAGCGGAATAATTTTTCAGGTCGCCCTTAGCTGGTGGTTTCGATCGGCTGGGGATTTGACCTCCGGGCTTTTGTGGAGGGTAAATGGGAGACCCTTCCTTAACCGAGCCAAACCACCAATTGGAGGAAAGCTGGATCTTCTTTTCTCACCGGAAGCCAAGGGAAGTCAAGGGGAAAGCCGACACCATTGGGGATGTGTCTGTTCCGGGCACCCCCTCAAAAACAAGAAGGAAACAAGCTCAGGTGATATCCCCAAGAGCATGCGGTGCTTTTTTTAGTGCTCGCACCACCCCGCAGCCCTCGCAGAACCCTCGTGGAACCCTGGTGGATCTGGGCTGAGACTCCAAAGCTCTCAGCTGTTGGGGAAAAATGTGATTATACTTCTGGATTCCCCGTTAAGCAGTACACAAAAAAGTGTGCCCTTGCAAAAAGATATGTTTTCTTGCTTTTAGCAAAGCACATCAAAAAAAGGTGTACGCTTGAAAATTACAGACCCTTTAGCTAAAAGCATTCTGTCCTGTTTGTTTTGCATGCTCTTCTTTAGAAGACATGACAACACAAACAACTCCACACAAACAACAACTCAACCACGTTCTAAACTTCTATTGAACAAAAACAATCACAAACAAAGAAACACACAAAGCAAGCAACATCTGAGGTACACCAAGGACGTGGTGGCCGCAGGCTGCCGGCTGGATGCTGGTTTCTGCGCCGCGGTGGGAACCAATCTGCTGCGCTACCAGCTGGCGGAGAAGGCTTCGGCCCAGGGGACGCTTCGCTTGGCGCATGGGGTGATCCCTCATGATCCCTCTAAGGAGAGGGGAGGTACCCTTGGCGGTTCAACCAGCCATCCGGTTCAACTTAGCTTTTTTAGATCTGTTTAGTTTAGTGTTTTGTGGTTGGAATTCCATTTAACCCGCCAAAAGGTAAACTTTTCGGGTGGAATTTGTGGCACAAGTGTGCAGGATAGTGTCATCCACTTTTCACTGTTCTTGGATCAAGTGTTTTGTTTGCTTTTGTGTGTGTGTGTGTTTTGCTTCTGTTCATTGTTAGTAGGGGCAGCACACAAGCCCCCAATCTCAAGAGGGGCTGACAGCACCATTTGGGATGGATGAAGTCTCATGAACACTCGTGTACGGATGAGCCACCTGCCAGTGCCAGGTGCGTCCACTCCTACGGGCAACTTCCACTCTTTGATGCCCCCTTTCCTTTATGGCTATTTGGTTGGATCTTTGGACTTCAACTTTTTTGGGAAAACAGGACAGAGTAGCCAGCACCAAGTTTCTGGCCCGAAATTGCGTCATGGAAAGGGGGGGAGATATGATCGAGAGCCTTGCTGGCGAGCTTCAAAACTCGGGGATAACTGGGTGGTTTTAAAGTGGGAATCAAACAATCAACGAACACTTTTTTTTGGGGGGGGCCGGGGGTCGGATTCCCCAAGTTGGTTGGGATTGGTGGCTTGCTGGGGATTTGCACTCTTGGTTCTTGTAGAGGGTGAAGGGTCTCCAAACCGCAAATTACTTGCTGGTGCTCAACAGAGAAGGAGGGAGTGATCCCTACAAACCCTCCATCCTATCGCTTAGGGAATTCCAAACGGTTCATTCCCAACACCCGGAAGGTCAGCACCAGGATTCGAGGGAAGCTGAAGTTGGTAGTTTGGATTCGTGGGAAGGGGGAGGTGAATTCCAGTAAATGAGAAACCGCCTCAGCCTCCAAACCGCCAATCCAAACCGGGAAGCTGAGGATGTGGACCTTGCCTTCGAAGATCACCTCGCTGTGCCCTTTGGATGGCTCGACCCTCATCGCCGCGGGCTGCCAAGACGGCACTGTGGCGGTGCTGGACGCGGCGTGACGAATCGGCGAAGCGGCGAAGCGACGCGATCGGAAGAAAGGCGGAGACCGGAGCTGGGACGCGGTCTGCAGCTGATCAATAGCAACCAGAGTGGTGTTGCTTGATTTCCCCGAAGAAGCCAAATCGGGAGTATTTGTGCCGATGTAGTAGTTAACCTTCGCAGGTGTTTAAAGGGTGGTAATCCCTTGGTTACCTATACAGGTAAATGGATCATTTCTTTGTTTATTTGTTCAGCCCCCCGATTTAGCGGATCGATTCGGAAACCGGGATGCCAGATGTTTCGCCCATATAGTGGGGTAACCCTTCGTTAGTTTCCTCTTGGTTTTTAAAGGGTGGCAAGCTCTTGGTTACCTATTATACAGGTACATGGACATGGCTGTTGTTGGGAACCGTTTCACATGTTTGTTTCTTGTGGTTTAGTGGTTGAAACCCACATTTTCCACTGAACTGCTAACACGTCTAAATTTTTTGCTCCCCTTGCAACGTCAACCAGGTGGATCCCAGCTTTTGTCCTCGTATGAAGACATACTGATGCACGGCATCCAGGAGTCGACGGAGTTCTGGCCAGGTTTCAAGGCGGGGTCTCGGTCATCCGCTCGGTGGGCCCCGTCCTTCCGAGTTTTTTGCTTTTGCGGCTTGCCAAGTGCACTGAGGGCGCGGCGCTTTGAGGGGGGTGAAAAGCAAGTCCAGAAGAAACGGACTCAAAAGAGGTTTCCAGCTACTCGTTTTTGATTACTGGAACAACCCTTGAAACTACAAAAGGAGTTAGCATTGGCAAACGTATTTGCAATATCTTTGGCAATTCGCAAAATTATCGCAAAGAGGGGTTTCTGGGAGGTGCCAAGCAAATATTGAGAGGTCCTTTAGCTGAACCTTGGGGGTGCCTTTAAATGAGGAAGCTGGGCTTCTTTAATCAGACGGGACTTATCAATCACGTGGCGGCAACGCAAAAGGATTGTATATGCATGTGTCTATATATATATATACATTTTGCATATATATATATATACATACACACCTCTACCTGCAAATATATATATATATATATAAATAATTACACACCTGGTCCTGGATTTTCCCAGACACCCGCACTTACAAACCAAAGAGTAGAGGCAGTAAGGCGTCTTCTTCTTCCATTCGGTGTTTGCATTATTCAGTGTTTGCATTGGGAAAAAACCGACAAAAGAGCAACAGGGAAGAGCCTTGGAGCTGGATGTGTGGAAATTACTCTTTGTTGAGCGGTAAAATTACATGCATGGGTGATTTGCCCTTCCTCCAACGTAGCACCTGCGGGGGATCTGGAAGATTAGTTTCCTTTTCAAGGGACACCCTGCCAGGTGCCATGTTAGTGGAAGGGAAGGTATCCAATCAACCGTTTCGGGAGTTCCCGTTGAAACTCGTCGCCGTATGGACCGTGGAGCTCTTGCTTCCTTTGGCAGGTGGTTTTGCTCTGGTACAGATGGCTTGTTGGGCCAAATAGAAATTCCATTGGGGGAGGGGGGGTGATTTTGGGAAGCCCATGTATGGTGCCGTTATTTTTCGTGGGGAAGGCTACGTCGGTGGAATTGCGGGACCCTCCCTCCTGGGATGGAAAGACCAATTTAGTGACAAGCGACAAGTTTCGCTTGGCCCACCCACTCCAGGAGTGAATTGTGGCATTGGTCAGGTTGGACCCAACAGATTTTTGAATCGAAGCGCCCGTAGGATGCCCGCCCTCCAGCCCGCATCAAAGTCCAGAATCGCCCACTTGATCGCACGAATCCGGGGGCCAACTCTGCGCGCCTTGGCACAGTTATGAGGCCCATTGGATCCCAGGAGTTTCGCCGATTTTCTGTTTTTTTAACCTTCGCCATGCTCATGTGTCTCTTTTTAGTTTATCAGGTGAATGTATTCGCCTGTACCGACAATTCCAGGTGAATGGGGTCATCAAAGGGACCTCAAATCATAAGTCTCCTTTTGGCTTCCTTTCTTGCTGCTGCCGAGTGGTAGGGAAATGTCGTTGAATGAACCCAGGGGTCCCCTGAAAGAAAACCGATTGGATGGTTTGTAAATCCGTGTCATGTCTCATTCCCGGAACGGAACACCAAGCCCACCGTGGATGGCACCTGGCAATATGTACTTTTGGACAGGTGCACCTGACTTAAAAACCCATTTGTTTTTTTCTGATTTACTGATCGCATGTCTTTGGGGGGGACTCCGTTGCGCCCAGCTTCCCAGTTTCCAAGGCCTGAAACGGTTCCTGAAGCCGAAGTGGCCGGTTCTTTGACAGGCCCTTGTCTTGCGGGTGCGATCGGCAGAGGAGATTCATGGAATGGTTGAACTGTTTGGGGATTCCCTTTCAAGAAACCAGAAGGGTTGGTTTATGGGGGTCATGTCCTGTGGACCGAAGTCAGGCTAGAGTTTCGGCATGGGTTAGTTTGGCTAAGAATAGATGGCTCTGGTTGAGATGGAGTTTATGCCCCATTTGCTACCCTCCCACCAGCTAACATGGAAGTGCACAGACTCAGATCCCTGTAGAAAGACTACTTTCCTCTTGGAAAGGTCCTTGTTGCACTTCCATGCTAGTTGGTGGGAGGGTACTTTACTATATGGAAACCTATCTAGATCGCCAAGTTGCGGTTTTTTGTCACTGTCACTGTTGCTGGTTTTTGGGGTAAAGTTCATGGAAACAAAAAGGCGCAACTGGCGATCCAGGTATCTATTGTTCCAAAAGGTCACCAAAGTCTGGGAACATCGTGCCACACCCAAGGCAGAACCTCTCCTTGGAGGAGCTCTTGGATTTGAGCGCCGGCGGCCCAGTGCGAGGCTTTGTGACCCAACGGGGCACACTGAAAAAGACAAAAACACGGGTCCGCGGTCCGCGCGTCAAATACAGGTACACCAAAAAGAACAAATGATGGGGGACCTGGTTCAAATTTAGTGGTACTCAACCAACCCCCCCTTTGAGGTGGACATAATTCCCCATGTCCGTGTCCACCTCTTGGCTTGAAAAAAAAAGATTCCTCTGCAGTCACTTGCGGCTTCTCCCGAAAGGCCCATGGAACAACCTCCCGCCCCAGGCGTCGAACAACCCCAAGCCCAAGCCGAATCGCATGGCCGGGACCTCGGAGTTCGAAATACATCCCATCGATGCGACGAGCTCGCCGGGTCGGGGGGGAAAATGAGCTCGTGGAGGTCCGAGTCACTTGGGGGGATTCGGTTTTTCAGAGGAAGGACTGGAACCTGTCCCGCTTTTTGAGCTTGAACGTCACTGTTGGATGGGGGTACCGGGTAGGGTGGGGGGGGGGTCCTGATCTCATGAGTTTTGGGAATAGTTGCACATGTGGAGATCCTGTGGGTGGCTTGGGGTCTAGGGTTCAGCGTTGATGGTGTTGGGGCTTTTGTCTTGAGAGCGCTCAAAGAGAGGCTTGCGGTTGCAGAGCTGAGGGCCCTTCAATTAGCATTCTCAGAAAAATATCGGCCTCACCCTCAAGAGACACCGGCGTCCCCTTTGGGCGACTTGTTTTGACCTGTTCAATCTCCTCTTGTGTGCAAGCTCTTGTGTGCAAGCTCTTGTGTGCAAGGACAGCCCCGTTGAGCACTCAGAGTCAAGCTCTCCTTAGGCCACTCAGCCCCGTTCAGGCTGAAGCATTTCTTCTCACTCCAGGAGCTCACGGAATGTTTTCTTCCAAAGAATTAGCTCCCCTTTTTGTTTGTTTTTTTGGCTTTTTTGGGGTCCCTTTGTTTTCCACTAACCAGTCAAAAATGATATTTCTTTGCTGGGGTCCTACTTCCAGGGTGGTTTGTGGGTTTGGACCAACTCAGTCAGAAACGGACAGTGCGTGGTCGTTTCTTTGCCCATCCACTCGTTCGGAAGTCAGTCTTTCACCTCGCCAGATGCCTGCTGTACCTCAGTCAGGGCGGCAGACTCAGATCCGCACGGGTCGCGTCGCAATGGCAGCGCCGCGTTTGCATGCTGCGATTTATTTGGTAAATAGCGAGCCCACCGATTCGGGGGTACAACGAGCGAACGCCATGACAAAGGTTTTTGCTTGCTTACTTGATTCGGTTTTGAGAATTATAGTATCAATTGCAGATGCGGTGGTTTTATTAAACTTGGTCTTAGTCTTTCGGGTGTTGACGCAAGCCTGATCCCCAGCCCGAAATGAAGCGACGAACTCAGCAAGTACCACCTTTCGAGTGCCCGGTTTGATGCGTTGCAACCAGAAAACAGACTAGTCAGCCTGCTCCGGCAAATTCAGAGGGATCCTTCGCTGCGCAACGGGTCCCTTTCGCTCCAGTTCCAAGCGGCGGAATAATTCTTTGAGCCCAGGGTTGCCATCAACACATCCCCTCAGAAATCGCCTGGTAGTTTCAGCGCCTTCTTTGAATTCGCGGATTTTTGGGAGGTCCCTGAAAATAAATTGTAACCAGGCTTCCTTGGCTTACTCGCCCATGTGACATGTCACTTTCCAGTTTCCCCTTTTTGGGTTCCCATCTTCACTCATCCCGAAAGGTTACTCACTTCCACAGCTTCTGGACTGCACACTGTTTCGGGAAGTGGTAAACAATTAGTTTGGGGACCTTGTTTTGGGGGGCCAGCTCCAGAAGTGAAGAGGTATGTAAAAAGACTGGGGTCCAAACTCCAGAACAGTTATACCCAACATTTTTGCAACTGAGACCAGGCATGAAAAACACCTTTGAGCTCAATGCCTCATTGTCCAACTCCATCACGTGTAGGCATCACTTTGCCCATCGTGCGTAGATAAAGGGTATGCAAGTGGGACAAATTAAGGGTCCATGCACAAAGGCCAATTATATTTTGCCTAGATCCTGGTATGTGTACTTGTTTAATGTGCCTTTGTGGATGTGAATATGTTGGTTTGCAACCAATTTTCCATTGGCAGCACATGACACACACACACACCCGTCCACACCGACACACACACAGACACACACACACACACACAGACAGACAGACAGACACAGACACAGACACAGACACAGACACAGACAGACAGACACAGACACACACACAGACACAGACACACACACACACACACACGCACAGACACACGCAGACAATCACAGACACACACAGACACACACACAGACACACACACGGACACACACACAGACACACACACAGACACACAGACAGACACACAGACACACAGACACACAGACACACACACACACACACACCCACCCACCCACCCACCCACCCACCCACCCACCCACCCACCCACCCACCCACCCACCCACCCACCCACCCACCCACGCACGCACGCACGCACGCACGCACGCACACACGCACGCACGCACGCACACACACACACACACACACACACACACACACACACACACACACACACACACACACACACACACACACACACACACACACACACACACACACACACACACACACACACACACACACACACACACACACACACACACACACACACACACACCACCCGACACACGCACACATACATACACAAACACACACACACACACCACCCGGCACACGCACACATACATACACAAACACACACGGACACACAGACACACAGACAGACACAAAGACACACAGACACGCAGACACGCAGACACGCAGACCCCCACACCCACACCCACACCCACACCCACACACACACATAAACCCACACCCACACGAACACGCACAATAAACGTCCAAAGCCGAATGCTACCCCCGGATACAACCCCTTGTTGATTCTGATCGAGGGGTGTTGGATGAGGGGTTCAGACCACTTTCGTGAGTTTGGATCGGAGGAGTTCCGCTTAGATCCGGGTTTCCCATGTGTCAAAAGGACCCTCAAAACAGCCAGGGCGATGTGTCTCGAGCAGCTTCAGCGCGCAGACAAGTATAAGTGGGTATTTCCTTATCTGAGGATCCCGCCTTCTGTTTGCAGAGGTTGCCAAAAGGAGTTATATTGACCACTCATGTCCATTGCACCCAGTCGCTAGTGAGCATGTAGATGGTATCTTGGGTCTGGAGTCAAAGGCTTGTGGGCCGGCATGTTGGGCTGCAAGCCTCAGGCTTGCTTCAATGAGGCACATGTGGCAAAGGTTGGGGGAAGGGGTGGTTCTTTGCATGGCTTCACTGACCAGAAAGGGGAGCTACATCATTTGCAACCAATCACGATGCGTGGGAAAACCGCCGGTTCCAAAGAGTTGTTTGCTTCCCAACTGCTTTTCCAACCAAGTGCAATAATGACATAAGTTCCTTTCATTTTGGGCCCAAACGCGACACCAAGTGGCGACTTCGGTCGTGCTTGGCTTTTTCCAGGCCCCCAGCGCCTCACGCACCAGCCCAAGCCCAGGCACGGGTACGTGGCGGGTTTACCGGGAAGGGCTTAGGGGCTTTGATTCTAAGCCCTTCTCTTGGGGTATTGGGACATGTACAAGTGGCAATGTCAGTGCACCCTCTAAACTGCTTTTTGTTCGTTGGCTTCCCCATTGAACTTTCCATGGTTGTTGTTGGGAAACATTTTGTATTTTTGCTCGGTGTAGTGGTTGAAATCCAAATCCACTTAACTGCTAGAATTGAAAATTGTTTGCTCCCCTTCCAACGTCAACCGAGTTTCTTTGGGGTTTTGGGACATGTATAAGTGGCAATTCAGTGGCACCCCCTGATGGATTGCAACCTTAGGAATCCCGTGGCCCTTGTTCTGAATCCGCTTTTTGTTTGTTGGCTTCCACATTGAACATCGTCAACCCCGAAAAGAATTGGTTCCCGCACGGTGTTCTACCAGAGTCACTGAGCAACTGGGAGGATCTCGAACCCTTTTCACCTTTGGAAAGTTCCATGCCTAGAACATCCGATGTGTAAAGTTTCCGCCGTTTGATGAAGAAGCACATGTTTGCTTCGTTTCATTTCAAATCCGCCGTTTAAATTTAAAAGTGCTTTTCGGGAGCCTTGCTTCCTTCCCTAGTTTGCCTGGAGCGGGCAGCGTGTTCAAAGGCAGGAAGTTCCGCTTTTAGACCCGCTTCTTGACCGGCCAAGTCCGCTTCGCGAAACACTCAGTGCGGAGTTGGCAGAATTGGCTGTGGCTCAAAAAACCGGTACCAAAATGGAACCCTGTTCAGTGGAAACATGGACCAAACCCCGCGAAACCCCTCCTGTTGAATTTTGAGCCACACCCAATTGTCCAAGATTCCAGGGTTGCGAAGAAGTGCTCGCAAGTGTCAACAGCGCTTGCAGAAGTGAAGAAGCAACTCTTTCCGGGAAAAAAAAGACACCCTTATTTTACTCGATGGAAGGTATGTCAAAGATTGGATTTCGTAAGGAAGTGAATTGAAGTGAATTGCGGCTGGATTCCTCGGAGCACGGTCCGCTTACATTACTTCTTCCGAGCTTTTGAGTCGGCGTTGTAGCCAACCTAGTTGTTTGAACATGAACGGACGGCACCAAACATGAGCTTTCCACAAGATTTTTGTGGTTCACGCAGTTGTTCAAGACAAGAGGGGGCAACCAGGCTGCCAATGCAATTTGGAGAGCGTCCGGAGGCGACGTTGGAGCACAGAGCTGTTGAGACGGGCTTCATGGGCACGTCCACGAGTTCTAATTGGCACGGTTTGCTCGTCGCGTCACGAGACTGTAGAGTTGAGAAGCCGGTCTTCTGTTTTTGGAGTGTGGCAACTGATAGCCTTGATCATGGCCAGCCACAGGGCGCCTCCGGGCGGGGCAACGCTGCGGAGGTGGGATGTGGCATGGTCAAAAAAACGCTTTGCTGGGCAGTAGAAAGGTCGATTTTTGTTTGCAAACACGGGGTTGTGTCATTATGCTCTCATGTTGACCCCATATGAATCAACCCCAGTTTATTAGTAGGGTGTTCCCCTCCAAACATGAATAAGCAGGTTGGTTGATTCATTTGGGGCCGATCACTGCTGGAAATATGTGTTTTTTTCCAGGTGGCTTCAGTAGAAGCTTGGTCATCCACATGCTACCAGGCATTCTTAAAAGCTCGCGGAATGTTTTTGTTAAGGCAGCCAAGGCCGTAGGCCACAAGGCGGGTTGGCTAATATTGAGCGGTCCATTGCGATGGCTACACCACCGGTCTCAAGGCGGAGATTGCGCACCTGTACGCAGCTGCGTAAAGCCCATTCTCTGCATGTCTGCAGGCTTTCCAGTTGTGGGCCATGATGCGGAGCGCATAACTGCTTGATCATGGTAACAGGTTGCGTGACAGTGGCTACACGTCAGCGCAGCGAAGGTTAACTAAGCGTGCGCCGTCGCTGGTGTTTTTGCTGTGGAGTTGCCTGACGCCGGTCAAAATCCTGGCGATGGCCAGGACATATCCGGCCATGCAGGTGAAAGCTGCCTGCAAGCAGTTTGTTGCAGCGGGCGCTACAGCCAAACCATCCCCACCCCCTTAAATTTGGAATTGGGGGAGAGAGAGGCGACCCCTGGAATTCCATTTCTGATCCCATTTCCCTTCTTTGGAGAAGACTAGAAAAATGGAATTGGGGACCCCCCCCACCCCCTTCCCCTTATGGCAGGGGGGATGCCAAACCGCGGATCAAGGGTCCTGGCACCCTTCCCTTTTGGAAGTTTTAAACATAACCCTTTCGGCCAACATCTGATCGAGATTCCTTTGGCTGGGCGCGGCTTAGAGAGGAAATAAGAGTGGGCGCCACGCGTATCAAGAACAGCCAGCAGGAGTTTGTGCTTGTTGCCAGGCAAACGTGCTAATGGACGGCTGGCCCATCATCGCAAGTCACAAGAGGGGGCAGTAGCCAATTCAAGCGGCTAGAGCGGCGCTCGAAACCAACGGTATGATCTTCGTTGTTTTCCAACAAAACTCGGTGCTTCAAGCGAGCTGGCTGTTTGCCAGTTTCGAAAATGCGAGGGAAAGCTATCTTTTACACACTATTCTTGGGCTGAGAAGTTGTTTTTGAGCCAAGTGCGCTTGGTCTGATACTCTTGTAGTGAAAAGCTGCCCTGTTCATTTGTCGCGAAAGGGGGGTTCAACACAAGCCGTAAAGAAAAGAACAACACGCACGCGTGAAAGCTTCCCGAAAGCCCCGCGAAGGAGCGCAATGAGGGTAGCCAAATCTTGACACGTTGTGAGCGACGCTCAAACAAGTACGCATCATTGGCTTAGGATCGTGACTTTATTTGGCTGACTAGCACCCAACGACGCTGCGTCGCAGGGTTCTAGTTGGCGTGTTGTGTTGCTTGTTCTGCATGTCAACCCCGGTGAAGCTTTTCGTGCAACTCGCGTTTCGGGACGAAACGGTTGACAAGCCTGAGCGTCCAATAACTCATGGCTTGACCGTGGTGACCAGCCACAGGGGCCAAGTCTAAACCCAGTTTTGAGAAGCAGGCTTTTTGAGCGAACCTTGCAAGCCAGGTGTGAGTAATGTTGACTCAGGATTAATAAACCCGTCCCATTATTAGGGGGGTGAAAACCCCTCCGAAAGTGGTCTGAATCCCCACTAAAAAGGGGACACCCCCCAAATCAAAATCAACCAGGGGATTATTAAATCCGGCGGTAACTTCCATTTGCTTAAGAATATGTTTTGTATTTTCCCCTGTTTGTTTCAAGGGAACCTATGACTACTGGATGTTTTCTCCAGGGGCTTAAGCAAATGGAAGTTCACCTTACCTCTCCTGGAAGGTGGATATGGCGCCGAAGCAGGCGATGCACACGCAAGACCCCGCCGCGACGCAGCGCGCCGCTGCGCAGGAGGCGGGGGCTGGCACGAGCCGACGTGAGCTGTCAGCGCCCCTGACAAAACGTGTTTCCAGGGTCCCTGTAACTTGACTTTCAAGTTTTCAACAAAACCCTCCGGAATAATTTGATTGAGACCACTTTGGTGGATGATGTTTAAAGAAGAAACGCAAGCAGTGGGCCTTCGCCAAGAGAAGCCAACAATATATAACTAGTTGTTGTCGAACAAAGTAAAAGCGAACGGTTGGCCCAGCATTGCCGACTGACAGTGTTTTTTTGCTCAGCACCAGATGCCAGAGAGGGCAAACAGCCAACTACACATTTTTTGCCTTGCGATTTGGACTTTTTTGGTTGTATGGCGCCGCGCGACACGAGTCAAGAGAAAGACAGATAAGAGACAGAGAAAATGAGAACGAGACAGCAAAAGAGAAAGAGGGAGAACGAGAAGCGAAAGAACGCATGTACGATTCTTGTAGATTGGAACTTCCCCGCTTTGACGGCTCTTCTAGCATATGAGCAAACAGTTTGTCCTTTATCTTTTCTTATTCCTCTTTATTTGCATCTATATTTGTTTCTTTATCTTATTCGTCGTTCTCTTATTGCTTCTTTCTTCCCCTGTCTCTTATTTAGCTTTCTTTGCTTTTGTTGTTTTATTATTTGCAATATTTCCATTTATCTATCTACCGTTCTAGTCTACTTCTCTATCGACTTATCCATCCAACCACTCATGTTCCGTTTCGTTCTATTTGCCTGGCTTTCTATCCTGCTAGTGTCAATTTAATTGATCTATCTATCTATCTGTTTATCGATCTCTTTCTTTATCATTTATTTGTCTAATCATATCTAATCTATCTACCTGTCTATCAGTACCAAGATCTGTTTATCGGCCTACCTACCTGCTTACCTACCTTCCTGTCTAGCTATCTAATCTGGCCTATCTACCTGCCTTCTTGTCTATCCCTGTTTGTGTGCGATGTTGCTACTTGTCCAGTCTCTACTCAACGTAGCTAATCTATCTACATGTCGGTCTGTCAAGCTATCTATATACAGATGTACTTTTCTTTCTATTTATCCACCTGCCTGCATTTACCCTTATCTTTCCACCTTTTCTATTCTTACCTCTCGTTGCCCCAATTTGTTTGTGTATGGGAGTCGTTCTAAAGGTCCGCGCAAGGAGTTTACTTTTGGTCAGCAGCCCCGCTGTGAAACAGCGAGCGTTTTCCGCGAAAGCCTGCGCGGAAGGGTATGGCCCGATTGCCTGCCTGAGGGTGGTAGCAGGGCACATGGCTGCCGTTCAAAAAGGCCGGCGCAGGAGCAGACACACAGCAGAGTACATCTCTGTGTGAAGCTGCGACTCGTGTACCACATTTGTGTTTCTGCTTCCAGGAGTAAACAACGCACGGCGGGCAACCCGCGAAAGATTTGCGAACATAACACCATTTTTTGCAGAGACAAAGGAGTGTAGAACAACCACCATATCTATCCGGTTATCTATTTGTCTGTGTATTTGTTCGGCCTATTTGTCTGTCTGCAGTTGACCTTGAAAGCGCCCGCCACGAAAATCTGCGCGTGACCTTGACTATAGGACCTTGCGAGTGCTGCACCCGCCGCCGCGCAAACTAGAGACTGCCCGCCCCGACCAGTGACCACGGCGCCGCCTTCAGGCTAACTTCCAAGGGTCCCAAAGAAACGAATTGGCAGGTTGCTTTTGAACATTTGTTGTGCACTCCCCCGCCATGTGTGCGTATTTTTTCGCGCGTGCTTGTTCTTCTTGTCTTCTGTCAGATTGCTAGCGCTAGCTTGGGAAAATGAATTGCCCTACCACTTAAGTGTCTTCTAAACTTCACTAGAGGAGCCTGTCCGGAGGTCACGTTGGGATGTTGCTTTGCATGTCGAATACGAGCCTAGTATGAAGTGCGGTGCACCTTTTCGTGCGATGCACATTTCGCAACTAAACGGTTGAGAAGCATACTTTGTCAATATCTCACGGCTGCAACATGCTGGCCAGCCACAGGGCTGTAGGCCAGGTGTGAGTGCCCCTCTTGGAAGGCCAATATGACGATGCAGATGATGCATGCGCCGGACTCCGCCGCTGCAGCGCAGGAGGGGGCTAATTTGGAGATCTGGCCTGTTGGATGCAACCATTGGAATCAGATTCTCTCCGCAAAGACCTGATATTCAATGTTTCCTGCAGTTTCGATTCGAGCCCACGATTTGGGTGAAGCGAACTTGCCCTTGACTCGGGATTTTTTTGGTTCTGCTTGGGGAGATATACTGATTCAGGTAGTGCAAGTGATTGGCAAGCCCTGCTGCGCGCGAGAGACGTGGAGCTGCTACAAATCAATCGCCGCGACAGCAGTCCAATAATTTGGCCCGAATATTAGAGCAGAGTCACGCTGGATTCAAACGGGCACGCTCGTTGCCTTAGTTGGTTTGTTCTGCTCGAAATTTACGAGCCCCAGTGGAGGTTTTCGTGCGACGCGCATTCGCAAGTAAACTTTTCAGGAGCCTGGTCTGTTGAGTGGCCGGTAATGCATGGCTTGCTCATGGAGGCCAGCCACAGGTGCCAAGAATGGTTATCCAATCTGTAATTATTGTTGTGATTGAGGCGATTCTGACGCCTCTCTTGGAAGGCCAATATGATGCAGATGCAGATGATGCAGATGGTGGCGGACTCCGCCGCAGCGCAGGAGGGGGGACGGAAGCTGAAACGTGCTGCAAGAGTCCTTTTAATTTCCCGTTTGGGAGGCTACCTTCAATGGTGCAAACAACGCGGTGATGCATATGCCACCGGCAAAGGTAGAGGACGTGCTACTAGTTTTGTTTGAATAGTGCAGGGCAGCATGGGGTAGACCCCTTACAGGATGCATTTGGAGCTCCCCCAGCATTTCAGAAATCGCTCATATATATATATATATATTATATATATATATAAATTATATATATATAGCCCCTGCGCAGCTTTTGGGAACAGACCTGTTGAAAAGCCCTGTCCTGTTGAGTGGCAAACAACGCACGGCTTGATCGTGATGGCCAGCCACAGGGGTTCCGCTGTGAGCACGTACCTGGCGCCATGTTGACCCCTACATCTTCAGAAGCCTCTTTCAGAAGTGACTTGAGCTTGTTGTGTACGTCTCTTCTTTGTTGCATTTTGCTTGGATTCACCTTTTGCTAACGAATTGGTTTTCATTAAACCACTAGAAGTTAAACTGTTAGCAGGGGAGCAGAGAGCAACGGAGTCTTAGAAGGCCAATATGGTGCCGACGCAGATGATGCATATGCAAAACTCCGCTGCCGCCGCACAGGCGGGGGGCTGCGACGAGCTGACATGAAGACAAATCGTGTTTCAAGGCTCCTGGTGGCTTGGAAGGTTTTTCAAGCCAACATTCCTTTGGTTTGGTACGTAGAGAGGAAATAAGAGTGGGCACCACGTGTTTCAGCAATGGCCCTTCTTCAATGACAAGCCAAAACCAGAACAACGATGCCCCACAGACTTACATTCAAGAATGAGGGCGGCGTGGCGTAGAACGTTTCAGGTTCTCTCACAGGACGCATGTGGGCCAGTTGGGCGTCAACTTTAACTAGCTGAGCTAGAGAGACTTGGCCATTGGAACCAGATTGAGCTTGGGCTTCAGGATGTTCGAGGATACCTGTACTCTGCACGATGAATTTTATGGCTGCAAGTAGCGCAAGTGATTGGCAGGTCCTGCTGCGCGTGGGACGCGTTTGCATTGAGTTTTATAGTAGTTACCCCAATGACCTGTCGAGAAGCCTGTATGTGCTGTTGAGTGGCAAGCAACGCACGCACGGTTTGATCGTGGTGGCCAGCCAGAGGGGCCTACATGTTCAGCATTCAAGTTGGAAGGCCAATATGGTGCCCACGCAGATGATGCAGATGCAAAACTCCGCGGCGCAGGCGGGGGCTGCGACGAGCTGACATGAAGACAAATCGTGTCTCGATGGTCCGTGTGTCTTCCCTTTTGGAAGTCTTAAACGCGACCACTTGGCCAAAACCGAACGGCCTTTCTTCAAGTAGTGAAGGCGAGCTCAGGGCCAAAGGACCTTGGGCTGAAGGATGGCCCCTTGCCTCGAGGATTTTTGAACTCTGCTTGGTGATCCTGCAACTAGCGCAAGTGATGACGGAAAGCGCTTAGCACTTGGGAGTTTGTGCACACTGTTTGGGCCGCTGCTCGCTCAGCATTTTCGGGTGTCTCCCCTGTGATTTGCAGGTTTCCGGTCGTTGTGGCACGTTCGGGCGCAGGCGTCTGCCCTGATCGGGGGCCGCTCAAAGCGCGGCCCAAGAAAAATTGACCGCTGCATCTGAAGCGGCCATTTTTGGCCGGCTTTAGACTTGCGTAGCGCAAGCACAAATGACAAGCAGCTTATGAGAGTCCCTTCGCTTAGCCTCCGCCGCAGGCCACAAGCCTGCCAGGCGAGCAGCGGCCCAAACAGCGGCCGAAATCTGGCCGCTATTTCGACCGGTTCCATCGAGCCATATCGAGCCTTCGTAGCGAAAAGCAGACCAAACAGCAGCTTATGAAATTCCCTTCGCGTAGTCTCCGCCGCAGGCCACAGCAGCTTATGAAATGTTCTTCGCGTAGCTTCCGCCGCAGGCCACAAGCCTGCCAAGCGAGCAGCGGCCCAAACAGCGGCCGAAATCTGGCCGCTATTTCGACCAGTTCCATCGAGCCATATCGTTGTCGTCATGTTGACTTCTTGGTGGTTGGTCTACTTTTTCTTTGGAGGGGGTTCCAGGCAGATGAAAAGTAAGCCAACAGCAAACCAAAGGTGAACCAAAAGCAATCCAAATGCAAGCCAAAGGGAAACCAAAAGCAAAACAAAAGCAATCCAAGGTAAGCGAAAGGCAGTCCAAAGGTAAACCCCAAAAGAAAACAAGAAACATACCAGAGGTAAACCAACCGCAAGCGAAAAGCAAACCAAAGCAAGCCACAAGCAATCCAACGGCAAACCAAAGAAGAACCATAGGCAAACCAAAGGTAAACCACAAGCAAACCAAAGGTAAATCCAAAAGCAAACATAAAAACAAAGCAAAGGCAAACCAAGCGCAAGCCGAAAGCAAACCAAACAAAGGCAACCCAAAGGAAAAAACTGCTGCAAACCAAAGGCAAACCGAAAGCAAACCAGAAGCAAGCCACAAGCAAACCAGAGGCAAGGCAGCAGCAAACGAAAAGCAAACCAAAGGCTAACCAAAGGCGAGCTAAAAACTACAAAGGCAAACCAGGGGCAAACCAAAGGCAACCCAAAGGAAAAAACAGCTGCAAACCAAAGGCAAACCGAAAGCAAACCAACAGCAAGCCACAAGCAAACCAGAGGCAAGGCAGCAGCAAACGAAAAGCAAACCAAAGGCTAACCAAAGGCGAGCTAAAAGATACAAAGGCAAACCAGGGGCAAACCAAAGGCAAACCTAAGGCACGCCAAAATCAAACCAATAGCACACCAAAAGGTAAACCAAAAGAAAACCAAGGGCAAACCAAAAGCAAACCAAACCCAAGCCAAAAGCAAAACATAAGCAAACCAATGACAAACCAAAGACAGACCAGAGGTAAAAACCAAAAGCAAGCCAAAGGCAAGCCAAAAGCAAACCAAAGGCTAACCAAAGGCTAACCAAAGGCAAGCCAAGAAACCAAAGGCAAACCAGGGGTGAACGAAAGGAATACCTACTGGGAAAGGGCCGTACTTATAACTTGAGTTATAAGTTCCATAAGTGGACTTATAATGTGAGGCAAGTGGACTTATATTTTCCCTAAGTTGGAGCATACTTATAACCTACTTGGTAAGTGTTCACTTAGCTAGGTGCAGATATAAGTTCGAGCTAAGTTCCAGGTGCCTATACTTAGAACGAACTTAGCTGGAATTTAGCTTTTGTGCGCTATTTGCATGAACATTCAGTTTTTTTGCATCCAATGCCCAAAACGAGTTTCTATCGCGAACTCTTTGCGCTTCTTCTCATGCAAACAAGAACATGCACGTCAATCTCGCGAGGCGAAACAAGTATGACACAGAGCACAGACAAATGCGTTGCAAAACCGCACGCAGCACGAAGGCGCGCGAACATCCGTGCTGTAGCCGCTCCTCATAATATCGGGGCAAGCACGGCGCAGCGGCGGTGCTGCTTCGGGATTGTTGTTGCGTGGTGAGCACACCCACGCATCTCGGCAGGACCGCGCGCAAGTCAAGCGGCCGGTCCGCTCAGAGCCTCCAGACTGTAGACTCCAGACTCCAGACTGTAGACTTCAGAATCCTGACTCCACGTCCAGCGGCGGGTTATTATATCTGGGGGAATTCTGCCACATGACCGGGCACGGTTAAGTTTTGTTAAGTTTTGTTAAGTTCGAAAAAACTCCACCCCCTTTTCTGGTCTGCGGGCGAGCTGTCCCGGCATGAGTGGAAGCGATCCTGGGCTATAGCAGTCTCCTCAAGGAACGGGCGCGCGACTACTCTCCCAGGAAGGAAGAAAGATAGAAAGGAAGAAAGGAAGAAAGGACCAACAAAGACGAAAGAACGAACGATGGACAGAAAAGAACGCTGAACAGAAAGAAGGAAAGAAAGAGGAAGAGGAAACATGATCACCGACGAATCCGCCGACCAGCTTCGAGAAACTGTTGGCCGAGTTGGCAAAGAACGCACCAGCCAGGGGCCAAACATGGTGCCAGTTTCAACATGTACTTGGGGCCTGGAAAAGAAGTCACTTGGGCAAAGGCCAAAAATGGGCGCGTCTCTTGGAAGGCCAATATGATGTCCACGCAGATGATGCAGATGCAGCAGTCCGCCGCGTCGCAGGAAGGGGCGGGAAGAGCCAACTTGAGCTGGCGCAAACGGTCAAAACATGTTTCAATTGTTTTGTTCTTGCTTGTGGCAGGCTTATTCACAACAATATTCCTGTGGTGAGGTGATGAGAAAGGAAACAAGAGTGGGCACCGCATGTTTCAACACTGGCCCTGCTTAAAGACAAGCTAAAAAGCGGCTGTGTGGACTTGATAGTTGTCAAACATTTTGTCAGTGAACGTTTGGCCTAGCATTGTGACCTGGCGGTGTTCCAGTGGCAAGTTTAAATGTACGATGTCCTACAGACTTACATGGAAGAATCAGGTTTCGCAAGTAAACAGTTCAGAAACCGAGACTGTTGAGTGGCCAAGAACTGTTTTGATCGTGGTGACCAGCCAAAGGGGCCAAGAGTGGGTCTAATTTGAGGATGTATTTTTTGTTGATGCGCATCAGAAGATACTCCGGCCTCTTACAACGAACTCTTTAGGCCAGGGGCGGGTGCTTCTCTTGGAAGGCTAACGTGGCGCCGACGCAAATGATGCAGATGAACCACTCCGCCGTCGGAGCGCAGGAGGGGGCTGGACGAGCCGACAGGAGCGTACGGAAGCTGACAAAACGTGTTTCAAGGGCACTTGTATCCTTTTATGGAAGCTTTCAACAGCTCTTTCAGCCAATGTTTGACCCATATTCCTTTGGTGAGGCAGAGTTTAGAAAGGAAACAAGAGTGGGCACCACGTGCTTCAACCTTGGCCCTTCGCCAAGAGCAGCTAAAAGCAGTCTGTGCAAACTTGATAGTTGTCGAACACTTTGTAAATGAACGGTTGGCCCAGCATTGCGACTAGAAGTGTTCCCGGCATGGCATAGACCTCTTCAGGTTTTTCTCAGGCCGGTTGAAAATCACCTTTAACCAGATTTGGTCTGTTGGATTCAGCATTGGAATCAGATTCTCTTCGCGAAGTAATGACCAGTTATCCCACGGGCTCAGGGCCAAAATAACTTTGGCTTCAGGAGGAAGGCCCATTTCTGAATCCGACTTGTGATCTGCAGGTCCTGCTGTGAGAGACTGTGGACTACTCCACAGCTGAGCTTGGAATTGCGCATGATGATCTTATGATCATGACTCTGTTGGTTCTACAGTACTCCACCATGCCAGTCTGATTATTTGGCTCGTGTATTAGAGCCTACCCGGAGGTGGTGTTGGAGCACAGGGTTCACACGGTTGTGTCAAGAACAAAACATGCGCGGGCCAACAGTTTACGCCAAATGGTTCACAGAGTGCGGTTCTCAGGAGAATGCCCGGTTTACATCCGCGGGCTTCGTGCGCAACACAACCATTGGTTGCATGTGTTGAGATTGCCGGGCCTGTTGAGTGGTCAAATAACTCATGGCGTGATCGTGGCGGCCAGCCAGAGGCCAAGAGTGAAGCGCTCCTAGGATACTTGAACTTGTTGTATGGCGAATCTTGTGATATCTTGTTGGCCTGGGGTGGGGGCCTTTTCTTGGAAGGCCAATATGCAGATGATGCAGATGCAGCAACAAGTCGCCGCAGCACAGGAGGCGGGGACGAGCCGACAGCCGGCAGAAGCTGACAAAACGTGGTCTTGTACGGTCCAGGGACTACCCTCCCCCAGACTAACAGGGAAGCTAAAAGACTTGGTTGCATTTACAGACGCCTTCTGGGAGCCTCCATGTTAGTCTGATGGAGGGGAAGTATCCGACACTTCCCTTTTCGAAGGTTTTTTTTCACAATGCTTCCGGCCACACGTGGTCGAGACTCTTTTGGTGGGGTAACGCAACGCAAAAAGAGGAAGCATGGCAAGGCACCAGCTGTTTCAACAATGGCCCTTTGCCGAGAGATGCCAACAGGAGTTTATGTAAACAATGTAAACAATAGATGTTGAACAATGTGCAAATGAACAGTTCGCCCAGCATTGCGGACTGGCGGCCTTCCACACAGCTCGAAAAGGGGAAACCAGCCAACGCAATGGGCTCAACAGTTGAACATTAAAAGATCTTCTGGTCATGGCTGCAATTGGTTTTGTAGCGCCGCATGACAATTGTCAGAATTGCAAAATGGCTTTGGCTTCTTGCGGGCATGTCAAGAGTTCTTTGCTTGATCGTGGCAAGAACAAAGGATGGTTCCAATTTGAGGTTGTGCTCGGGAAGTGTTCAGCACTGTAGAACAAGGGTGGGTGCCTCTCTTGGAAGGCCAACATGGCGCAGATGATGCAGCTGCAACACTCCGCCGCCGCGCAAGAGGTGGGTGGGACAAGCCGACATGAGCCGGCGGAAGCTGACAGAATGTGTTTCAACGGTCCTTGAGTCTTCCCTTTTGTAAGGTTTAAGCACCACCGCGGGTAACGCTAACAGAAGAGCTATGGATAATTAGGAGCCAGGGGCTTAAATTTTCGTTTGTTGAGCCAAGCCAGCAGGAGTTTATGTGAACAGTAGTCAGTAGTTGTTGAACGATGTACAAATGAACGGTTCGCCCAGCATTGTGGTTTTCCGCAATGCTTTGGGGTTGAGTTCTCCTTGGCACATTGCTTCGGTTTGTTCCGCGTATGGCTTTTCGTGCAACGCACGTTTCGCAACTCGGCCGAGCCTGTTGAGTGGCCAACGCATGGCTTGATCGTGGCCGGCCACAGCCAATGACTAATGGAGCTTGATTTGTAAACCTGCCACCAACCCCTTTCCTTTAGGGGTCGTTTGGGGCCTCTGGAATCAAAATTCGGACCTGGCCAGTCCTCGGCCTTTTGCGGGCCGCTGTCTGGCCAACGGGACTGCCATGGGAAAGTAAAGGAACTTGCATTTTCCTTTTTTCTCGGGCTGGAGAGGGACTTGCTGAATCAGAGGAGGCTAGCCTTGAAGGAGGGTAATCACCCTTTGCGAGCTTGTCAAATCTTGGTTTTAAAACCAATGTTAAGAAAACAATGCTGCTTCCGACATTTTTTCTGGAATGGCAACCCTTGAGACTATGAAAATAGCATGGCAAAAGGATTGGCGATGGCGTTGGCTGGCAGTCTATCATTTAGTGTTTGTTGGAATCGTTCTAGATTTTGCGGCTGGACACGGCGTCTTGCATCAGAGGGGGTCACTAATCCCGTTTAAAAACTAAGGATGGTTCCAACTTGAGGATGTACTTGGCAGTATGTGTTCATCCTCAGAAGATACTTGTGCCTGTTGCAGAGCGAGCACTGTAGGCCAGGGGTGGGTGCCCCTCTTGGAAGGGAAGCATTGCGCAGATGATGCAGATGCAGCACTCCGCCGCAGCGCAGGAGGTGGGTGCGACAAGCCGACAGCCGGGGAAAATGACAAAACGTATTTCAAGGGTCCAGGGTCCTTGATGGTCCTTGCATCTGAGCAATGTGCAAAATGAACGTGTGGCCCAGCATTGCGGACTGGCGTTCCGCAATGCTCAGTTCAGGCAGTTCTTTGATCAGCGGAGGGAGCAAACAGCCACTCAACGGTTGAGTTCAGTGATCTGTCACTCACGGCTTGATCGTGCTGGCCAGCCACAGGGGCCAGTGGTGCCAAAGGATGGAGCATGTTGAACCCTCAACAGGTTGGGCCTGGCGAAAGGCAGCTGGGTGCCTCTCTTAGGCCAATCTGGCGCAGATGATGCAGATGCAAAACTCCGCCGCAGCGCAGGAGGCGGGTGTGACGAGCCGACAGCTGGCGGAAGCATTCAAGGGACCTTGTATCTTCACTTCTATGCGGTTTCATGATTAATGTGGTCAATGCCATAACTGGAAGCAGTGAACCTTACTTACACAGAGGGAAATATTGTATGGATAAATTCGTTGAACAAAAACACAAAAGTTAGAGAGGATGGTTTAAACACAGCCCTTCCGGCCAAAATATGATTCTTTTGTCATGGCGCTAGAAGAGGAAGTATGGATAGGCGCCAGTGGCGCCAGGTATTTCAGCAATTTGTCCCTTGCAGTATCTTGCAGTAGTTGCCGAACAACGAATGAACAGTTGGCCCAGCATTGCGGGCTGGCTGTGTTCCACAATTCTTTGGGTTCCCTGCACTGTTTTGGATCAGCGCAAGAGGCTGCAAACAGATGCAACGTGATATGCAATATGCAGAACTGCAGATTGCTAGATCAATTCTGTCGGCTGGGGTTCTGCATGTCATGTCCAACGCTGTCTACGAACCCGGCTGCACCGTTATCGTGCGACGCACGTTTCGCGACTAAATGGGTGAGAAGCCGAGCCGGTTGAGTGGCCATATAGCTCACGGCTGAATCGTGGCGGCCAGCCACAGGGGCCAAAAAGGTTCTGCAGCAGGATGTACTTGGGACTGAAATTGACTCCCGTCCCTACATGGGTATGGGTCGAAATTACACCACCGGGATATGGACAACAAGTTTTAGTATTTTTAGTCATTGTTTCCATCTACCAGGGTGCCATTTTGGGGTTACCCTATTTTTGACCCACAGCCACATCTTCAGAAGATTCTTCGGTTTGCTGTTAGCCATCACCCTTGCTTGACTGCTATTGGGTTGGATCTTTAGACTTTCACTTTTTGGGAAATAAAGGTGTTTTCCACTGAACCCCTAAAAAGTTACACTTTTTGCAGGGGGGTCAACAGCAACCAGGCCTTGGAAGGCCAATATGACTGTGGGCCAAAAATGGGTCTCCAAATGGAACCCTGGTCAATAAAACCTACTCAAACCTGCGGTCCAATTCCCGGTTGGATTGGGACCCCCCACCTGACGCCGATGCAGATGATGCATCTGCAACACGCGCAGGAGGCGGGGAAAGCCGCCGACCACTTTCCGGGGAGCAAAGATCCTTTTGGCGGAACGGAGGTTTGGCAACTCCGGGGCTCCCACAAACCATATGCCCAGGTTGAAAGCTGCTCCATTTGTGGGCCGGGTTTGTAGGGGAGGGGGTGGTAGGTTTGTAGGTAACCAATGGCTTGCTACCCGATATAAGCCGGTTACCTATGGGCGAGATGAGGATCCAATGGATCAGGTTTTGGAATCAGTGTTAAACTCACTCGCCCAAAGCGAATCGGCTTGCAGTGGGAAAATTTTGTCGTTTTGCAATGCCATGTCTGCCAATGAAAAAAGCGATGCTTCATTGACTCACTCGCCCAAAGCGAATCGACCTTTTAACCTTTGGGTTTCCCTGATTTGGTCCATTTTTAGTACAGGTCCCAAGTCCTTTGGCAAGTGAGGTAAAACGAGGAAGTGTGGACAGGCGCCAGGTGCGTCGACAATTTGCCAGGTTGGTCCAGCATTGCGCACGGGCAGAGTTTCACAGTTCTCTTGGGTTCCGATGTTTTTTGAGCAGCGCGAGAGGGTGCAACCAGCCAACGTAATAGGCCATATACAGAAATATCCTACGTTTGATCTTATGATTGTGACTCTATGTTGTTTGAAACACCCCACGACAATAGTTATACTTTGCTCAACATTTGAGAAGCCTCGTCTTGGTACGTTGCCTTCTTGATTCTGCGAGAAGAATCACCTTTTGGCCGTCGAGTTTCTCACAAACGTCTAAGTTCTCGGTGCAGTGGAGTTAATTAATGAATCTGAGGTTTTTCCAAGACTCGGGAAGGTACACCACGTGTGGGAGTCTTGGCTCCTTTGTCTCGTGCTGCTCACTTCGAGTAGCCATATAAGAGGTCTGAAGCCAGTCTCAAACCAATTTCAACTTAGTCAGTTGGGCGAAAGGGGGGGCCATGGCAAGCGATCGGTGGCCAAGACCATGCAAGTTGGTAGCCAATTAATTAGCATGTAGCGCGTCAGGTTATAATGCAGAGAACTTGCAGTCGCACCCTTCACCTCAGAACAAATCGGCTTTATGACTCTGGGAAATGCGCTTGCGGCCAAGCGAGTCTCAGTTCTTGTTTATAAGACTTTTTAACACACTGAGCGTTTCGCAACTAAACTAACCTGAGGACGGATATGATGGATTATTTATATATGTCCCCCTCCTCAACAAAAGGTTGGCCCTGCAGGCTGTTGGTGGGCGCCCTTCTTGCAAGGCCAATATGGCGCAGATGATGCAAATGCAACACCCGCAGGAGGCCGACATGAGCCGGCGGACACTGACAAAGCGAGTTTGAAGGATCCTTCCACCTTCGCTTTTCGCACTTAGAAGACAACCCTTCCGTGCAAATTTGGTCGAGATTCCCTTGGTGGTTTGGTGGGGTAGATGTAAGAGAGGAAATAAGGATAGGCGCCAGGTGTTTCAACAATGGCCTTTCGTCAAGAGGCGCCACAGGAGTTTATGTGAACGGCAGCGGTTGAACAGTATTGTACAAATTAACGGTTGGCCCAGCATTGCGGACTGGCGGTGTTCCGCAATGCACTGGGGTTCACGCAGTTTGTTTCGGTGGTAAAAGTAGTACAGAGGGGGCGTCCTATAGAGCTCCGGCGAAAGCAACAATGCAGTCCGCGAAAGCTTGCGAAAGCTTGTTGCGAAAGTGCCTCAAGAATGTTCCCGCCACGACAGTCCGTCGAAAGCGTCCGATCTGACGGGTGTGTTTTGCACAGCCCGCCGCGAAAGCAATTTCAAAAAGAGCGAAGCCCGCGACAGCAAAACATCCCTTTCGCGAAAGTATCGCGAAAGGGCACGCGAAAGCCAGCTCATAGAACCGCCTTTTACACGAGTGGCTTCATGCGGGCACGTCCAAAAATTATTCTTAGCATGTTGCCTTAGTTTGTTCTGCAAATCTCGGTGCAGCTTTTCGTGTGACGCGCGTTTCGCAACTAAACGGCTGAGAAGTCGAGTCGGTTGAGTGGCCAAGCACGCCTGGCTTGATCGTTGTGGCCAGCTTCAGGGGCTGAGACGTGTTCCAATTTGAGGATGGGCCATATTGATCCCCTCATCAACAGGCCTGGGGGTGTCTTTTTTGGAAGGCCAATATGGCGCAGATGCTGCAGATGCAACACTCCCCCGCCACGCAGGAGGTGGGTGGAGCCGGCGGTTTCAAGGGTCCAGGGACCTTGTATCCGACGTTTGGAAGTTTAATAAACAGCTCCTCTGACCGAATTTGTTCGAGATTTCCGTGGGTAACATGACGTAGAAGGAAGGGTGTCTCAACAATGGCCTTTCGCCAAGAGAAGCCAAGTGGAGTCTGTGTAAGCTTGATGCTTGAACAGCTACAAATGAACAGTTGGCCCAGCCTCGCAGACTGGCGCTGTTCCACACTTCCGGTGTTCACGCAGTTTTCTGTTCAGCGCCAAGAGGCCAAGAACAGCATGGGTGTTGGGGCACAGAGATGTCGAGACGGGCTTCATGCGGGCGTCCACAAAATTATTCTTGACACGTTGCCTTAGTTTGTTCTACGAATCCCGGCACAGGCACCTAAACAGGGCCCAGAGAGGTTCCAATCTCAGGATGGATCATGGTGATTCCCTTAATGTTTGGACTTGATTTAAAAAGCAGCCCCCCTCCCCCATGCACACGCCAGAATACTGGCCAAAAGAGCATGGGACATCCAAAGTTCGGGAGGCCCAGCACTATTTTGTTCTGAACACTACTTTAGTCTTGAAATCACTTCTTTCCGAGCATCTTTTTGTGGAATGCTACTGTTGTTTTGCAACCACTTTTTGCTGAGATTCTGGGAATGCTGCCGGGATTTCAGGACAACGATGTGGACGGGGGGGCTGGGGGCAGACCACTTATCGTTTTGGGGGTGTTGTGTGGGATCGGGATACCCTTGTCGTAGTTGAAAACAAGGTTTAGTCGGTTTAGTACAGCATCCTCAGAGATTGGGACCTCAGGGGTCACAGTTGTTGGATTCTGTGACTGGCAAAGTTTAGCGAGCCAATAAACGGGGCTGCTTGAAAAGTAAAGCTGTCTTCGGTAGGGGTCGTAGTATTCAAGGGCCATTCTTTGATATTTGTTGCAAGCGCAATAGTATGGTCCAAGCCTGGTATTGGGCTGATTTGGTTTGTTAAAGCTAGATATTGTAAGTGGTGTTTGTTTCATTTTCCTTTAAACATTGTTCGTCCCCCAAGAACAATGTGGACTCCGTTCTCACAACAATGGGTGGGAACTAGCTGAAGAAGACTAGTGGACATTCTGGTCCACATGACTCAAATGCCAACACTATCAGCAAGAGCTTGGCTGCTATTGGGTTGGATCTTTAGACTTTGACTTTTTGGGAAATAAAGGTGTTTTCCACTAAACCCCCCAAAAGTTAAACTTTTTGCAGGGGGGTCAACAGCAACCAAGAAAGCACCTGTTGTACAGCCCGTAGGCCTGGCCCGGGCCTCTTGGAAGGCCAAGTTCCCCGGACTCCGCAACGAAGGAGGTGGGGCAAGCGGACCTGAGCCGACGGAAGCTGGCAAAGCGTGGCCACGGGTGTCCCTTTGAGGTTAGTTTGATTCGAACAAATGGTGCTGGGTTGGTTGGTTTGCTTGGTTTCATTTCATTTAGCGGAAAGACAAAAGAGCAACACCTATGGTCCTTGTATCTTCCCTTTTGGGAGGTTTAACCAAAAACCTTTTCGGCCAAAGGTGGTCCAGGTCCCCCGCTTTTCAACACTGGTCCTTTGGCAGGAGTTCATCGAAGAATGTACACATGCACGGTTGGCCAAGCATTGTTGGCGATTCTTCGGTGGCAAACCGCTGGGTCAAAATCCCGCACCCCCAGTGCCCACTAAAATAGGTTCTAAAATGGGTGGTGCACCTACCCCAAAATGGGATCCCATTGGTTTGACCCACAGCCATATATGGATGTTTGAAGAATGAGCAGCGTGGCGTAGGCGACGCCTCTGCCGGAGTCCGCCCCGGGCCTTGTCGCGCGGCAGGAGCTTGGGGCTGGAACGAACCGGGACGAGCCGACAGGGAAGCTGGTTGAGACCTTGCTTAGTCTCACTTCCTGAGTTCATGAACTTTAAGCTTTTTGGGATGACCATTTAGTGGCAAATATAAAGTTTGGACTCTTTTTTGGGCCATCCACTCAGCCAGTGAGTTTAATTTAGTACTTGTGTAGTATTGACTTAGATTCGCACCTTACTTTTTCAAGCATTGCCATCGCCACAGTCACAGTCGCTGTCCATCCTGACCAACCGAAGTAAACGTGAAAACAGGTGCAACCACGCTTTGAGGCCCCCGCACCCTCCTTTTCTGAGAACATGGTTGGGCTTCAAAGAGCAAGTATTTCAACCATAAAGATACACATTTCTTGCACAACAAAGACAGAACCGTAAGAATCAGGAAACAGTCAGAATCCTACTTTCTGAAAATATGGGGTTCCCTTTTCGGATGTTGAGAGTATAGAAAGAAACACTAAGTGGGCGCCACGTGTTTCAAAATGCTCCTGCTCTAGCACGCGTTCCGAGACACTACAACAAAGTGGGCGCCGCGTGTTTCAACAATGGCCGTTCGCCACGAGAAGCCAAATGGAGTCTGTGTAAACTTGATAGTTGTCGAACAATTTGTACATGAACGGTCGGCCAGCAAGCCAGCATTGCTGACTGGCGGTACTTCGGTGGCGAAGCTGTAACAACATCCTACAAATGTTCACTCGCCCAAAGCCGACCTTTGCACCTTTTGGTTTCCCTGATTTGGTCCATTGTTTAGTAAAGGCGTCCCAAAAGGTTGACCTTTTATTTCCAGGTCCTTTGGGCAAGTGAGCAAAAGCTGGTTTTGCAAAGGGTACCTTTGCCAGCTTTATGAAGTTCGGCCTGGTTTCAACTATGTTGAGGCGAGCTCACCCGGCACGGCGAAAAAACGAACTTGCGCAGAATGAAGGCCTGATTTTTCGGGGATCCTTCAGTCTGGGTGAGGGAAAACGTGCTGCAGGCAGTGCAAGTCATGTGTAGGCAGTGGGGTCGCGGGACGACTTTGGATTTCTCCAAAACTGAGCCTGAAAACCTGATTTTGTGATCCAAGCAAGGGGCATGATTGCTCAGTACCGGGCGTGTGAGACTTGTGTATGAAGCTTAGCGCACGGCGACAGCGTTGTGCCTAGCTCAAAAAATAGTACCCAAATTCGCAAATTGCACCTTGGGAAAGGGAGCCAAAGACTAACACCTGCGTAACCCTAGCTCTTTAATCTTGAGCCACGCCCCGATGTTTGGTTTGTGTTCGCCGCGGGTTTTCAATCCCCAAGGGCCTGGGCAAAGCTCGCGCCGCTGGTGGTGCCTGTTTGCCCGCTCTGTTCCTCCGCAGAGGGCTGATTGGGGGAAGGAGGGCCTCATCTTCGCAATGCCATATACGGGTATTCCCCCTTGGCAGGCCACACGCGTGTGCCTCGTCCCTGCGGTGTTTTGCTTGGCTCCCCAGAGGAAAAAGCAACCCGCAAAAAAGGGCACCGAGACCCATAAAATTTGGGCGTGTCCATTTTTGAGGCTACAAATACCGGTTGAAGCCCCACTGACGAGACCCCTGCGGCGAAAAAACGCCTCGCGACTTTTATTCGAATTGCGCAGGACTTCAATCTGGACCCGCGGGGCTCTGAGATGGAACTGAAGGGTGTGAAGAGAGCTGCCCATGACTCTAGATTTGTTTGGCTAGAAAGACCATGGTTTACCTATTTCAGCATTTTGCAGGGTCATTTTTTGCGGCCCTTTTGAGGTAGATCACGTATTGCTGGGTCCGAACTCGTCCAACTTCAAGGCCGTGGATCCAACTTTCGTGGTGGTTTCCCTGTCTTAGCTTCCATTTGCTGAAAGGAATATTCTTCATTTTCCCCTGTTGAGTTTAAAGGGAATCTATCACAACTAAATTGATATGTGTTTGTTTCTTTTCCCCGGGGACTAAAGCAAATAGAAGGTAGGTTAATGTTAACCCCATATTGTTAATATGGGCCTTCCCTTGGTTTAGTGGGAAATCCACACTTTTGGAGGGTTTAATATGGGATCAACATTACTGTGGTGTTACAAATGGATTCCACAGGCTTAGATTGGTTGTATGCCCCGTGTTTGTTTTTTGCACAAGGCCAGCTATGGTTGTGAAGGTTAAAGGTCCCCAAAAGTGATCGCCTTTGATTTCTAGGTCCGAACTGGGCTGGAGCCCACCAAGTAGAACTTGATTTTGACAAGGGGCCCCCCTTCTTCATGGCGATTGGGTAACGGATCTTTGGACGTTAACTTTTTGAGAAGCAGGTGATCCTTCACAGGGGGTCTTTTTTGCCACCTTTTGTGGACAATTGATCAACTCGTAGCGAAGGATTCCTTTTCGAGGGGATAACCCATTTTCGCACAACAGGTGGTAAAACGACACCCCTGATCTTTCATGGGCTCCACAACAAGTTGTTCACTTTTTTCAGAGGGGTCAGCAGGTTGACCCTTGACGTGACCTCAGAAAGCGGAGAAGTCCATTGGCAAGGCCTTCCGGAAGAGCAGCGCATCGCTGTAAGTTGCACAACCGCTTCCCTCTAGTAGTGCGTCGCGACAACCTGGACTTTGGTGCATTTTGCCAAGGGATGTTAGGACTTTTACTTTTTGCCCATTACTGGGTTTTCCATTAAGTCACTACAAGCTAAACCTTTAGCAGGGGAGCAGAAAGCAACCCAGAGGAATGAACTTTTTCGCTTGGGGCAAGGCAAGCGCGCCCCTGCCACGGTTTTTCCGAACAGAAAGAAGGCTTTAGAAACTTAAGCCAAAGACATGCAACGTCAATATTTGGATCTGTGCTGGTTTCGGAATGGTTTGATGTTTGCTGAGTAACGGTTTCAATTTGGTTCTAAAGTGTCCCAAATATGACGGGATTTGGGGTCGGCGGAGTTGTTGCTGGTTTGGAGCTGCTCAGTATGGGCTATCTCTAATTCAGTATTGTGAGCCGATTGCAGATGAGAAGTGAAGGGCGGGATTGGTGAGGAGGGGTTCCTGGAATGATGTTATGTTTCTCAACCATCAGAAAGTGGAACTTGAGATTTGCACTTGTTGGCAGGAATTCTTTGCAAGGGCGCTAGGAGATCAGCGAGGTTCCTTGAAAAGCTCTCCCTTTCGATGCTTTTAAACAGCGCCATTTGCGCCATTCGCGCCATTCCTTTTGGTGGGGTGTTCGTGGGGGAAGCGTGGCGGGCCCGGCCAGTTCCAGATAATTGGACCTGTGACTCAGTTGTTCAAAACACATCAACCTTTTTCCGTTTTGGTTTTCCCTTTGGGTTAATCGTTTATTTCCAGGTCCCTTGGGCAAGTAAGGTGAGGTTCAGGCTGCAACCAGTCCTCGCAAGAGCCTGAGCATAAAGTTAATAAAGACAGTGTTCAGGGTAGAGGCAGACGTTGAGAGGAGTTCACTTCTGAGTTGGCAACGTGAAGGTGCTTCGGTCAACTAATCGTTCCTCAACAAATCACGGAGCACGACGCTCCAATCCTTTGCTTGCCAGTTTTTGGTGTTTCGACTCCAGTTCAGTGGTAAATAAACAGTTACCCTCCCACCAAACATGGAAGTGGACAGAGGGGTTCCCCAAAAGGAAAGTAGTCTTTCACCCCCCCTGTCAGCTTCCATGTTAGTCTGGAGTGTAGGTTGCTGGTTTTGGGCCATCCACGAAAGTACCGACATCAACCCAGAAGATTCCGAGGACCTCTGCGACGCAGGATGCTTTCAAGCTGCTGCGTCGCCCCTTGGCCGCACTCGGAACGGGGTGCGCCAAAGAACGGCTCATGTTTGGGTCGTGATTGGGAGCCTGCTTCACCTTAGTTTCAACGGAAACCAAGCAGATCATCCGGATTTTGCAAGTATTTTGGAGGTTTCGGACGCATCTTGTGGACCTGGGAGTTAAGCGCACACGAGGATATGTTGACTTGCCCGACCCCAACCTTTTCAACCTTGGACTCTGCCTCCATTTTCAGTCATGGCCGCAAAAGATGAACCTTTGGACGACTTAGTATGAATATTCTGGGTTTGCCAAACCCCCTCCCTTTTCGTTAACCCAAAGTTGTTGGGCCGCCCTGTTTTCCAGAGTTGGGCTCCAACTCCCACGTGGTCACGCCAGTAGAGCTAGAATAGTGTTGGGTTTAGACGTGGCCTGGTCTAATTGAGCATTGGGGCGGGGATATTGAAAGCCATATTCGTCGTTAGGGGCGCCAAGCCAACAAGTGAGAAGTTGTGGGAGCTAATTGGGTCCACCCACTGATCGACCCTGGATGTCTTTTGACCGAAAGTTGAAAGGATACCACTTTTCTTCTGGACACTGTTGGGGAACTCCATGGTTTGATTTCCAAATTGTGCAGGGCTAGAGTGCTGCGCTCGGATCCTGAGCCAGAATCAATGGGCAGAACTGTCGCTTTTGACTTTTGACCCTCCCTCATTCTCTGGCGGCTGTGACCCTACCAACGCCGGGGAGTGTGGAGTGGAGTGCTCTCCATTGGCAAAGGCTGTCATTTGAGCGCAATGTGGAACTCTGTGCATTGTGAGTACGCCGTATACCATGTGGAGTTGTTTTTTTTCTCCCGCGGGCAGTTTTCCCACCCTACACCATGAGGTGAAGTGACCCTATACACTGAAGCCTAAACCCAACCTTGTTTTCCTAATCCTTCACAATCCCAAACCTAAACCCTAAAATCCGTACACCTAAACCCAACAACTCCTGAACCTAAACCCTACCAACCCGAAACCTCAACCCTAATTAATTATAAACCTTGGCGAAAGCTTGCAATCCGTGGAATGTAAACACAGAAACCCAAAACACACCTTAACCCCACCTGCCCTATACCCAAAACCCTGAGTTATATATGTCTGGGGTAGGGTTAAAGTTGTCGCATGGACCAAAGCTTGATTGCCCTTGGGTTCGATCTTTAGTCTTTAACTTTTTAGGAGAACAAGGGTTTTCCATTGGGCCCACAAACAATGAGCTTTTCGCAGAGGGGTCAACAGCAACCAAGATTGGGGCGGATGAGTCAGTAACTCATTGGCAGTGTGTTGCTTGCGTATCCGCGGACGCGTTCTGGCCCTTCAGCACTGGTTTGCTTAGTGTGATGGTAGCGTTCATTTTAGTATTTTGATGGACTCCAGTCCGTTCCCCCGAGTGATTGGGGGCAGGGGCCATTTATGATTAGAGGGAACGGATCTTTATTGCTATTTAGTTTGATCCTTGGACTTGAGCCTTTTGGGAGAGAAGTCGGTTTTGCCCATTGGACCCACAAGAGGTTATTCGTGTTGCAGAGGGGTCGTTGCAGCAACCAATGGATTAAACTTTATATCACGAGAGAGTTCATGGCCACTGCCGCTGTGTAGCTTACTCCCTGTTCCCTGAGTTCCGTGACTCGGACCTTAGTCACTTTTTTGGGTTTAAACGATGTCAGTGGTAAGTGTTTTTTTGAATCCACTCAGGAAGTGAGGCACCCTTCATGTCGTGTTTGGTTGGTGGACCCATGTCCTGATTTGTGTTTGTTGGCAGCCATGCCCGCGTACCCACGCGTGATAATTGTGTCAAGGCATTGCTGTTGTTCCTCTTGATTATAAAAGGGCAATGGCACACTGCATTTTGTTGATTAATTATGTGTTGCTTTGGTTGACTACAGCCACCTCAGGTAGATAAAGCCGACGTTTTAACCTTTTGGTTCTCCAACAAGGGCTATTGGTCCACTGCTGGTCAAGCTCCAACAAAAGGTTCACGTTGCTTATGACCACCTGGCGGCGCATGCTCAGGTATGGAAGATGGCCAGGAGGATTGGCTGCCGGAGTTCATGTCGTTGCTTGGCACATTTGTTCGCTGCAGAAATCTGGGGGAAATTTCGGACATTCTTAGTGTGTTGGTGGTGACTTGCTGGGCAGAATGCGAAATCACACGGGGTTGTGATACTTCATCGCAGTGACCTGCCGTTTTTGAGAGAACCCGCCGTTGTTTGGTGGTTTTTCTAGGGGTAACTTCCCCATTCTTTCCAGGGATCCTTCTTTCCAGGAAACCATCAGAACCCCGAGGGAAAAAGCTGGTTTTCAAAACGAACGATGCTTGAAAATAATGGTTGGCATCAACCCCTAGAGACTTCATCGCAGCGACCTGCCTTTTTGAAAAAAAAAGAAGAAACTTGTTATGTGGCTCCTTTTTTGTGAGAACCGCCCTACACCAAAAGGAGCCCAAGGAAAAGCCCGTCATTTTGGAGGTCCACGAAAGTCGAGGACGACGCCCATGTGGCGAGTCACCTGAAGCCCAGGCTCTTGGGGCAGATGCTGCCCTTGGCCAAGCGGAAGCTGGAAGGCGCGCCACCCTACGCTTCCCGCCGCGAGCCGCCCCAGCTTTTGCGGGCGGATGTTTTTTGTGTTTTTTTTCTTTTGGGGGGGGGTTGTTTAACTTGAGAAAACAAACGCCCCTTGGGCGGCGTTTTTTGGTTGATGGTTCCCTTTTTCGTGGAAAGAAGAACGGGGCAAGCGATTTGCAGGGTCTATTTTGAGATAACCTGCCCCCCTTGGAGTTGTTTGTTTTTTGAACCTGGAAGATCCAAAAGTGGTCCAAACGGAGAGGAGATGGGTGAAGCCGTTCAATGGGTTTCTCCGGGAATCTCTCCCTCAATCCAAATGGCCAAAAAAAGATTCCCATGGAGTAAGCTGCTACATGCACGAAATGATCAAAAGGCTCACTTGCATGTTTTGCAGGTGTCCCGCATCCCCTAAGGAGACCAGGATTTCTTTATTGGTCGGAGGCCTTGTTCAACCATTGCCCCAATAGTTGTGCTTCGCTTTTTGGACGCTCCGACGCCGGAAGCCGAGCATTAGACGACCTCTTGACGGAGCCTGATCACCCTGCCTTTTTCTCCATTTGCTTAAGACTATATGTGTTATGTTCCCCTGTTGGTGTTAAAGGGAATCTATCACTACTGGCAATATGTTTTTCTTTTCTTTTTTTCAGGGGTCTTAAGCGAAAGGAAATCCAGTCAAATTGCCGGGTTCAAAATGGACCTTTCCCTGCCAGGGTCACTGGGTTGAGAAAACAGAGAAGCAAACAAGGAGGGACTCAGGGTGGCTCGCCCCAGCCATCGCGCAATCCGCTGCGGATGATTTTTTGGAGCCTGAGGGGCTCCACAGTTTCCATGGGAAGAAGAAACACGTGCCTCACATATATTTGGGAATGGTGGCCCGGCGGTGGCATATTTCGTGAACATCTCCGGGGTGGTGGTTTGGAGGTGGAGACAGGGGCGGGTTCCTGATGGACAGATTTGTCCCACCACCGACTTGGCGTGGGAAATTGTTCGATTCGCGTGATCATGTTGTCAAGCGAGCACTCACTTTGTCTAAGCAAATGTCATTCATGGGCTGGGGGGGGGGAAGGAGCACATAGGCCCTAAATAAGGCCTTATTCAGGGCTTAAGACGGGCTTAAGAAGGGCTCCCCTCCCCCTCCCCTCCCTCCCCCCTCCCCTCCCTCCCCCCTCCCCTCCCTCCCCCCCAACCGCCATGAATCATGTCATTTCCTGAGTTCATTTTGGCAAATAACAGGTTCCTGGACTTTTGGGCCAATCCACTCACCCGGAAGTGAGGATTGTAATGCAACGCAAGAAGGTTCACCCAGCCACTGGACAGACTTTATATGCTTCTCTCGGTGGCTTCCCCAAAAGTTTAGTGACCCCAAAAATGTCCGCTTTGGCTGGTGATCGGCCGAGTGAGCCTTACTCAATCAAAGCTACATGGGTGTGGGTCCAAAATAGGTGCCCAAAATGGCTTGCCCTAAATGGACCCAAGGACTACAACCTGCGGATTGTTGGTTGAGTTTTGACCCATACCCATATGAATCAACCCCAGTTTGTCAATTGGGGGGTGTTTTCCCCTGGGCTTAGTGAGGGGGTTGATTAGTATGGGGTTGAACATTAGCGTTTTGACCCGACCTCTGCAAAGCGGTCCGGTGTTCTCCCGGCTCCGTGAGGCTCGCTGGCCTCTGGCGCCAGTGAGGCTTCCAAGATGGAAGACGAGGCCGGCCGGCGCCCGGCCGCGAGCTTGCGAGCTCGAGGGTCAACAAAAAACGGGGCAACAGGTGGATGGTGGACGGATCAGAGCGGATCATTTTTTCGGTTGTTGCCATACCCAGTGGATCCGTTTACCCGGTTTTGTAGCTAGCCATGGGAACCACCCTTTAGAAGCCAGAAGGAAAATAGCTTACCTACTCTGGGCAACTGGGATCCCCTAAAAAATAAACTCTCATCATTGCTGTGTTTATAAGATATCCCATATTACTTTGTCTAAAAAAGCTGATCAATCAACAGCCCAGCTTTGATAGAGGCAGAGCATTGTGCGGACGTGCCCCCCTTTTCCCAGCCGGACTCTTGGACCGTGCTTGTGAACAGGGTGCCAAAGGCAAAGTAGTTGGGGTCATGGTGTCCCGAGAGGTACTCAAGGACAACATTCCCCATGCTCGGAACATCGGGTGTGCGAACACATTTGCACCGTGGCAAATGATTTCTCGTTCTGAATCGACACAACTCGCAACTAGAGTCTCCATGACCCTATAAAAATGGTTGGTCATGACCCTAAATAATGGGGTCATGGACCTATTTTTAGAGGGTCATGGAGACTCCAGGTAGACCAAATTACCAGACCATGGTGAAATACCGCGAGAAAACGCGGTTTCACTCCTTGGGCGACATGATAAGAGCACCGCGGACCGCGACACCACCCGCGAATTCACTTCGCATTCGCCACCCCCCACAAAAAGAGCAGACCTCAAGTGCGGGAAGACCAGCAATGGCGTTGTGCGGGCTGTGCCATACAACGCGCAAGATCGAAGTAATGTGGACCCCATATTCATCAACCCCAGTTTGGGGCTAAACCCAGGGACACCCCCCCTATTAATAAAGCGGGCTTGATTGATATGGGGTTAACATTATACGAGAACGCATCAAGCACGTGATTGCAAGACGGTTATTTTAAGCCTCCGTAGCACCAGGTTTTACCTAGCAGACCTATGGTATTCCTTCCCCCCCACATCGGTCCTACCATGTCCACGGTATCCCCCTGAAACCCGGAAAAAAAACCTACGGTATCCAATTTAGAAAGAAGGAACTTCAAGAGTACTTCCTCCACAAAAGCGGGGCTTGAAGTGATGATTTCCCACGAAAAGCCCCAATGGGGCACCTGCAGCTTGAGTGGTGAAATTACGACACCTCCGGGTTTAGCACCTCCGGGTTCAGTGGGGGAACCACCTCACCCACCCAAAGCGAATCGACCTTTTAACCTTTTGGTTTCCCTGATTTGGTTTCCATTCTTAAAGGTCAACCAAAAGGTTGACCTTTTATTTCCAGGTCCTTTGGGCAAGTGAGGTCTACATGGACCTCACTCCCAGGGACGGGCTCCGGGTTTACGGGGAAGCTCGGGAACCGTTCGCAGGCCTCCCGAGGCCGCGACAGCGGGAACTCCGGCGCCTCGGAAAGGCCGCTCAGCTGAAGAAAGTTCCCAGAGAATATGTTTTTGTTTTTTTTAAAGGACATAGTTTTAAAAAGTTCCCAGAGAATATGTATCTCTCTTTTTTAATGGAAATAGTTTTATTTTGGGTTTGCTGAAGACTATTTCCTCTTCTTTTGTATGTTGAGAATCATTTTCTCCATTTCCCTTTTAAAGGGACGTATGGTTGTATGTTTTTGTTTTTTTTTAATGGACATTTGTTTGCTTGCGTTTTGCTTAAGAATATGTTGTTCATTTCCCCCTGTTGATTTTTACAGGCAGTCTGTCTGGACATATCTGTGCGATTTTTCCAGGGGGCGAAAACGCAAACGGAAGTAGACCCAGCAGCGGGGTCACCCAAACTGGGGGCCTTGCCGTCTCCGAGGGGCTTTGGGGTACCTCCAAATCGGCGCTCTCAAGCTTTTTGCTGTGCAGCGCTGGTTTTCCGGGGGGTTGAGCAGCTTGTTCTTGGGCGCATGTTGCCAAGGGATGTTAGGACTCTAACTTTTTGATCCAACTGATGGGTTTTCAACGAATCAAACCGCTAAAAGATAGTCGCTTAAAGCACGGGAGCGGAAAGAACCAAGTCTTGGTTTCCCTTTGTTCGTTTCTCCAGCGAAACGGCCACTTGCAGGTCTGAGTTTCTGCGCGATCAGGGGGTCAAATGAAGATTGGTTCTGGCAGTCAACTGGAAGGGTCATTAGTGTGGCCCCAAATCATGTTTAGTTTGCTCCACGTTCCTTGGGGCGAACTTGAAAACCTGAGAATTGTTTTTCTGGTGTTTGGGGGCTCTACAGGAATGACAACATGTTTAGTTCGCTCCGAGATCCTTGGGGCGAACTCGAAAACTTGAGAAGTCTTTGACATTTGCCCGCTGTGTCTGTATTAATTTGTGGATATATACATATGTTTGCTATACAAATATACATATATATATATATATATATACACATATATGTATGTAATGTACATGTATATAGGAGCTTTGTGGAACCTGAGAAGTCGGTTTTTCTTGTTGTTTGGGCTCTCAGGAATGCGGATGACGAGGATGTAGAGGATGCGGATCCGGCACGGCCTGCCACGTCTTTCGGTTCTTCTTGCCCTTGGTAGCTGTAAGGGGCTACGAAATCAGTACCTGTAGTCTCCATGACCCTTGCAAAAATGGGTCTCCAGGTACACACATTCGCCCCGCATGGTCCTGACTTCTCTTTTCACAGCATTTGGACCTTTTGGGACGTGGCAACTTTTGTTCGTATTCAAGTGCACCACGAGCTCCTGGTATTTTTTGCCCTACTTTTTTTGCCCACCTCGCACAGAGCCAGAACTCCGCGGGGGAGGGTAGGTCTCGTCTTTGGTTTCCTGCTGTGGCCTGACAGGGGCAGCCTGTTGCTTGTGGCTTGCCCGTCTCAGGTTCCAAGATCGAGCATGGGGAGACAGTTTGAACTGTCCAATGCGCATGAGATAAGTAGCCTGGATCCATTTACCTGTATAGTAGGTAACCGTGGGAACCACCCTTAAAAAACCAAAACGAAAATAGCTGGTTCCCTACTAATTGACTAAATGGGTAGCTGGGATGCACTGGGTAGTACATTCAAGTTGAAACTGTACAAGGGTACCATTCCAAGTGAATGGTTTCACTTTCCGTATGGCAGTTCTATGTCGGAAAGCACCTGTGGATTTGACCCACGGCCATATTGGGCAAGTCTCGCGCGAGTGTCTATTCCAGGTCCTTCAGACCAAGCCACTACATTCTAGAACATTACTGGGGTAGATTTAGGACACACGTTACATTTTACCAGTGACTCAAAGTGAAGCAACAAATAAAATATACACTCTATCACTGGGCCTAACTCCAATCATGATCAGTCAGCGATTGTGTTTGAAGGTAAGGATTGTGACTTCTTTTCTTCGTGGTACCCTTTTTGGCGGTTTTAAAGGGAAACCCATAAGGAAACTGGTTTGATTGGCCAGCCGGCTGACATGTCGATGGTTCTGGAGGAATGGCACATGTTGACCTTGGTGGATCGTGTGCTCAATGCCGCTCGCGAGCGCATGCCGCACACCACTTTTTTTTTTAAACTACTACTACTACTACTACTACTACTACGGCTACAACCTCTACTACTACTACTACTACTACTATTATTACTACTACTACTACTACTACTACTACTACTACTACTACTACTCCTACTCCTACTTTTCTTGCTGCTGCTGCTGCTGTTACTACTCATTACTACTAAGTTACTACATACATCATTCTGAGTCTGTAATTAGTGCGGTTTGCAAGCCGAATCATACCCGCGAATCATACCCGAATCATACCCGGAGAATGCGCTTCCCCTGCCAAGGCTAGTGCCAAGTCTTTTCCAAAGTGCCCGCACCACTACAGCCGCTGCTGCTTATGCTACAGCTGCTACCACTACTTCTGCAACTGCTACTACTACTACTACCACTACTACTGCTACTACTACTACCACAGCTACTACTACATTCATCATTCTGAGTTTGCAACCAGTGCCGTTTTGCACCTCCGAGCCTCCTTTCCATCTCCTTTCAAATTGCTTTCCATGTCCTGTCCATTTCCTTTCCATTTCCTTTCCATTTCCTTTCAATTTGCTTTGCAATTGCTTTCCATTTCCTGTCCATTTCCTTTCCATTTCCTTGCCATTTGCTTTCCATTTCCTTTCAATTTGCTCTCCAATTGCTTTCCATTTCCTTTCCAGTTCCTCTCCATTTCCTTCCCATTTCCTTTCCATGTCCTTTTTGTTTCCTTTCCATTTGCTTTCCATTTGCTTTCCATTTCCTTTGCATTTGCTTTCCATGTGCTTTCTTGCCCTTCCATTTCCTTTCCATTTCCTTTCCATTTCCTCTCCATTTCCTTTCCATGTCCTTTCCGTTTCCTATTCATTTGCTTTCCATTCCCTTTCCATTTCCTTTCCATTTCCTTTCCATTTGCCCTCCATGTGCTTTCCATTTGCCATGCCAGGTCCTGTCCATGAGCTACGATGCCCTCTTCCGCGCGTCAGGCAGCCCGCCAATTTTGATTGAGCCCATGATGCCCATGGAAAAACCCCTGGCCTGCGTCGCAGTCTCTTACTCCGGCCGCTGCAGTTGTGGCAGCAGCATTATTTGAGAGAGAGCGGCTCGCCTCGGTGATATAGCAAAACCCTAAAAGACCAGTGTCAGCTGCAGAAACTTTTAGGAACGATACAGTGGAAGCAATATCTTCCCACTCAAAATCGCCAAATGCTTTGCTGCTCGCTCAAAATTGCTCAGCGCGAGCCATGGACTGTGACGACGCAAACGCGCCTCGGATGGTCAGGGCCTTTTATGACATGTCCTCCGGACTGTTATCGCTGAACAACGACGACCTCTTGAGTGTGATGATGTCGTGCGTTCCTGTGGCTCAGGGGTTTAGTTTGCATCAGGGGGTTTGACTTGCATGGCTTGTCAGCACACTGGGAGTCAAGTCAGGGCCAGATGACGCAACAATAGATTGGTCAGCTACTGTAGCTGTTGCAAGTGACTGAGCGATCTGGCGGAGAAAGGGCACAATGACACAATAACTTTGCTAACATTATTGCGCCAGCGCCTGCTGCTCCGGCTACGCATTCACCGGCGTCTGCGCCCGCAACACCAAATGGGGCTCTACGTTTGCAGCTTGCAGTAGGATGTCCCGCCACTCTTCCGAAGTCAATACTAGCAAGCTGTTTGCGGCCGCATTTCTGGGCCGCGTTGGTCAGCTCAACATGTTTTAGTCTTTGGTGTGCTTTTCCAACGTACCCTGGTCATGGTCGTGCTTACCAAAACAGTGCGGTCGCGCGACCCACAACATCGTAGCCTGCGTGTTTGCTTGCATGATCTCTGGTCGGGCTTGAGTTCTTCAAAATCTTAGTTAATAAAGGCTTCGCCCTCCAGCAGCCAAACACAATGTAAACTCCTGCCACAAAATAGACGAACACATATCCTGATCTAGCGTTCTTCCGGTTGTTCATCTTTCTGTCTCGGCGGACTCACGTTCAAAAAGCATGTGTTGCAGGACCATGTGCGGAAAAAGGGAGTAAACATGAAGTTCTTTATGTTCGAGTTTTGAACGGCCCCCTTGTCGCCTGACAGGCGCGAATCACGGTTGCGCAAGTGACCAGCGCTCGCTTGCAAAGATTGCTGGGATCAAGTTTGTGGAGGTTCCAGTAGGTTCGTTTAGGCGTGTAAAAGTTCCTTGGCAATAGCTGGCAGGGATGTTGGGCCTGTAGCCTGCTAAGATTCTTTGCCACTTTCTCGCGGAGATTCATCCCGTCGGTGCTAGCTCGCGGAACTTGCCTGGCGCTAGCTAACAGATCTTCCTGGGCATTAGCGTGCAAGGACTGCTGAGCCCTACCTTGCAAAATTTCCCGCGAGTTAGGCTCTAGCTTGCGGAATTGTCAACGCGTTGGCTTGCAGGGATTGTCGGGCTCTGCCATGTTTGCTGCGCGTGAGCTTGCAGGGATTGTTGGGCGATGGAATTTCTTGCGCGCTTGCTTGCCAAGACTGTTGGATTCTAGCTTGCGGAATTGCTTCGGCGTTGGCTTGCAAGGATAACCGGGCTCTAGCGTGTGTGTTGCTGCGCGTTAGCTTGCAGGGCTTGTTCACATTAGCACGTTGGCTTGCAGGGATTGCTGGGCTCTAGATCGCAGAACTTCTTGCGCGTGAGCTTGCAGTGGCTGCCGCGCCCCAGCTTGTGGTTTTGAACGCGCCCTAGCTTGCAAGGATTGTTGGGCTTTAGCCTGGATGGTTCCAAATTGCGGAAATTCCTTTTTTATGTAAACTTGCAGAGATTGTTAGGTTCTTTCCCGCGCGAGGGGTTGTCAGGCTCTAGCCTGCGGATTTCTCTGTGTGTTCAGCTTACAACGATTGTGTTGGGCTCCAGCTTGCAGACTTCTCTGCAGCGCGTTTGCTTGCAGGGATTGTGTTTTTACCTTGCAAAATTCCACGGTGCTAGTTGCAAGGATCGTGAGGCTGTAGTTCGCGGAAGTTTCTGGGGTAAGGGCTCAGCTCTCGTACGTTGGCTGCGCACAATCTCATGTCGCGCCCCTCTTTTATGCCGAGTTCGGCTGTCATGCCCCTCATTTTGTGCCGAGTTCGGCTGGCACACACCCTTTTTGGGCCGAGTTCGGTTGTCGCGCCCCCACTTTTGTGCCGAATGTCATTGTCATTAAGCACAATTTGTGAAAAGCAATTTCTGCACTACATGTGTCCGTGGTAGGCCCAGGTGATTTGTGCAGATGTTCACTGCCATTCTTCACGAAACTGTCCTTTTTTGGACCAACAGCGTGGTCAGAAACAGGCTGGGTTTCTCAGCAGACCAATTGGAGTGAATTTTAGGTTGTTTTGTGCCGAATTTCACTGCGATTATTCACGAAGCAGGCGCCTCATTTGGCGTGCAAATTTGTGAAAAAAACATCTCTCACAAAAGAATACAAAGCCTTGCACGAAATTTGCGCATCAATCCAATCGGTTTTCACAAAAAGCTTGAGCTCAAAAGAAGAGCCTAAAAAATCCTGCAAGCAAATGCCCAGGAGATTGAAATGTAATTTGGGCCAGTAATCATTGCAAACTAGAGCCAAACAGTCCCTGCAAGCAAACACGGAGAATGTTGCGAGCTAGGCCCGACAATCCCTGCAAGCTAATGCGCTGGCAATTGCACAAACTAGAGATTAACAATTCCTCCAAGATAACGCCCGGGCATTTCCGCAGGATGGAGAAAAACACAATCCTGCAAAGCTCACACGCACAAGTTTCCGCGAGCTAGAGCCCAACCGTCCCTGCAAGCTCACTCACTGGAAATTCCGCATGCTAGGGCCCAACAATCACAGCAAACTACAGCACAGACAAGTCCGCAAGCTAGACCCCGACAATCTCAGTGAACAAGCATAACAGGAAATTTCGCAGGCTAGAGCGCAACAATCCGTACAAGCTAAAGCACTAGAAATTGCGCAAGGCGCAGGCCAACAAAAACCAGGAAAGCTCACGAGCGCAACACTTCCGCAAGCTAGAGCCCAATAATTCCTGCAAGCTTCCCACAAGAAGTTCCGCAAGCTCCTTCATGCCTGCAAGCTAAGCAGAAATATTCCGCAAGCTTGCCTGCAATCCCTGCGCGCTAACACACAAGAAGTCCCGCGAGCTATTGCCCAACAGTCCCTGCAAACAAACGCGCAGGAAAGTCCGTAAGATGCTGGTAGAGCCCAACAATCCTTACAAGCTAACTAACGCAGAGCAAATGCTGCAAGCTAGAGCCCAACAATCCCTGCAAGTCAACGCGCAAGAAATGACGCGAGCGTTGCCCAACAGTCCCTGCAACCTACGCACATCAAACTCCACAACGTACTAGTAGAGCCCAACAATCCTTGCAAGCTAATGCGCAATAGACAGCCCCACAATCCCTGGAAGTTAACGCACAAAAACGCCGCAAGCAACCCAAGCTGCTGCAGGCTAACGCGCTTCAATCTTATGCAAGCTAGAGCCACCCAACAATCCCTGCAAGCTTATGCGCAGGAAGTTCTGCAAGCTCCAGCCCAACAATCCCTGCAAGGCAGTGCCTGACAATCCTTGTGCTTTAACGCGCAGAGAAATCCGCCACAAATTGCAATGCCTGCCAAGCTAGCGCGCACTGGTGCCAAGGAATTTTGCTATCTTAGTGGCAAGGAATCTCAGCCTGGAGACCCAATGTAGATTGCTGCAGCGTTTTTCATTGCGCAACCGCACTGTTTCGGTAAGCGTGCCAGGGTATATACATCGGACAAAACACCGAAGAGTAAAACATGTTGAGCTGACCAACGCGGTCCAGCATAAGCCTATCGGAGACAGTTTGCTATTTTTGACATCGGAAGAGCTGCGCGATGTACTGAATCACTTACGGGGCTTCCTACTGCAAGTTGCAAACTTCAAGCCCAACGCGGGAGGCGCGGGATGCATTCGCGCTAGTGTTGCGCGCGCAAATTGTCAACCTGTTGCGCCAAAGCAGCAGTCCCACCATGGACGCAAACTAAACTTCTCAGCCGGAAAAAGTTTAGCGCAGCGCGACCTATAGAGGCCACGGACCCAGCGCAGCAGCTACAGTGGCTGGCAAAACTACTATTGTGTCATTGTCGGTTGGCTCTCAAAGTGCACTTGCCGCCCAGCACTGGCAAACTTAAACCACCCAAACCAAACCCCGGGATGCAAACTAAGCCCCCGGTCCATAGGAACATGGCTGGAGTGTAATCAAGCCTCATCATTGGTCGTTTCACGTGGAGATCGAAATTATTACAGCTCCGGCCGAAACGACATTTCTCTCAAACTCGACTTGACGACAAGACGCGCCTCGGTTCAGAATCCCAAGTTGGTCCAGTTCAGCACGACATAACTACTTGTGACTCGGGCCATCTCAGAAACAGATGTCATGATGTCTTCAGGGCTTGGTACAAACGTAAAACTTTCGGCGAATATATATCTGGAATTCAGGAGGAGCCATTCTGCCAGACAGTTGCAGACCTGCTTTTGTTGCAACGCAGCGTATTTGACTTGGGGGCGTGTGGCCTGAAATAATGACTTGTCTGGTTTGCAGTTTTGCAGTCTCACACACTGGGTCGAGCAGCACGTGAGTAAATCATGTGCAGCTCTTCCCTATGCGTGCGGTGGAAAGCGAGAGGAAACTGTCTTTATTTCCATGTTACCGACGGATGTGGTGGCTCAAAGCGAGATCCGTGACACAAGCAATGACATCCGAGGCTCCATGGCGTTGCTTTCAACTTTCAATAGACTCAGAGATTGGTGGCCATGCCCGAAATGTGGGTCGGAGTTCTCAGCTCATCAATAATTTATGACGGGTGACACAATGTTCGATGTGTCGAGACACGGGCTCTTTCTGTTGACCGGAATAACCCGTGCCTCGCAGCGTCGAACATCGTGTGCGTCAGTCGAAGAGAAGCGGAAGGGTTGACCTCCTGGGAGCAAGCAACAAAAGGGCACACAGAGCACAGATGTGACAGCATCGAGAGAGAGGACTGCTCTTGGCGTCCCGTTGTTCTGGCCACCTGTGCGCCTGAACCTAGTACGGTTAGTTGACAGCCAAAACACTGCAAAACGACAAGGAGTAACTAAAACCGAGAAACCAAACAGGATCGAACAGCTTATCGCCACCATTTTGTACAACCCCAATTTATCTATTAATATATTAGAGAATAAATAAGTCACTGTCGCATCATTCATGTCGGGATGTCCACGAAACGTCCACGAGAGAGCGATGCGCTGGGAATCATGCTTGAAGAATGCGCAAAGGTGCCTACGCTGCCAATGGAACGAGGATTCTGTGTCCAAGGCTGCGACAAGCCCCATCATGGCGGAGTGGCTGTTTTGCGTATGGCGGCACGACCAGGCGCGAATTAGTTTGGAACAAAAAACCTCATTATTTGGTTGGGTTAAGGTTTGTATTGCCAGGACAATCAAACTTATGGCCGTCGACGGAACCTTTGTTTCTTTGGACCAAACAAATGTTTCTTGCGAACACACAAAACACAGGAAAACCATTACCCGGCGTTCATTGGTTTCTCATATAATATAATATGTTTTTTACAGACGTACCTGTTTCAGGGGGAGCGGAAGGCGTGGACAGACACGATTGAGAGTACGGTGAATATTCCCCCAGTTTTCTGGCTTTACAGGAACCCCACTAGGAAAACAACCATTTTGGTGGAGACAACCCAAATTGGCAATTCCCAAGAATGGAGGGTTTCCTTTCGGTTTCCTTTACCACAAAAAGAAGGGTCCCCTGACAGGGACAGACCCAATGTTTACTGACCCCATACCCTCCAGAAATATCTTGCCAACACCAGCCATGGTTTTCGCAGCCGGCCCCCCCCCCCTCGCCAGGAGAGCGGTCCTAGGACGCATAAAGCCGTTTGGCTGAAATGCTGGGCCGTTGGACGGGTTGGGTGTTGGCGCCAGTTCCTTCCTTGTCATTTAGCTGGCTTGCAGTGGCTACATGTGTCTTTTGCAATGCCATTTCTGCAAATTCGATACGATGCTTCATTGACTCACTTGCCCAAAGCCGACCTTTTAACCTTTTGGTTTCCCTGATTTGGTCCATTTTTAGTAAAGGTCCCAAAAGGTTGACCTTCTATTTCCAGGCCCTTTGGGCAAGTGAGTTGAAAGGTGCAACACAAATGTTAATATCCCTTTGAACAAACAACACGGGCATAGTGTTTCTCCCAGTCATTTCATTTACCCATATACACACATGTAGATGTGTATGTACGCAGGCAACCAAGGGAACCACCCTTTAAAACCAAAATGGGATCTGCTGGAGCTGGATTCATTTGGTTTCTGGTTTGGGGGCCGGCCCGCTTTCCCCAACTGAAAGCTACGGGGTTCTTTCCCCTGGGTTTTAAAGGGAAATTGCACCACTGGACATAGTTTATGTTTGTTCAAGAGCTTAGCAAATGGAAGATCATGCCTTGTTTCAGTTTAAGTTCTATTCATTCGACTGTTTCAAGGCGATCCCTGTCCCGTGACGAAGACTTGGACATCCCTGTCTTTGGTACATGTTAGTAGTTTTTGCGCCGCTGTTTGGCTCTCGGATCTCTGAACTGCCGATTCCTTGCGTTTTAGTTTTGTTCCACGAAGGGCGAAAAGAAGGAACAGCACCCTCTCCACCAAAGGGTCCCTTTACTTCCAGTTGCTCAAGAACATGCGATTTTGTGAGCCCCTTTCATGGTGGTGCAGGGGTTCCCTATCGCTTCGGTTTTTTCCAGGGCGTCTCGGCCCAACTTTCGGACCCTCGCAGTTCGAGGAGTCCATGGGCCCAAGGGGTGCGGCTTGTTGGGTGGTGCGGTGGATCGACTCGGCTTGCGAACCGCCAGCGGTTTAAACGTGGCGAACCTTTGCTTGATCAAGCCCCACACCAAAGCTACAGTTTTTTTTGTTATTTTTTTTTCAGCTTGTTTGTTTTTCCCTCTCGGGGGCAAAGCAAAGACCCATGGACTTGCTGTTGGCCAGTCCACGTGCTGGCCTTGAGGTCCCTCCCAGTTTTTTCGGCGCCACGGGTCGCCGAGGCGAAGGACATTACCTCGGTGCTCTTGAGAAACCTCCCTCTGGACTACAGCCAGCAGAAGGCCTTGGACCTCATCGACGGCAGCTCAGCGATTCAGCGATCTCCTGCAACCCTCGCGGGCTGCGAGAGCTTTCTCGTTTTTTGGGGGGGAGGTCTACCCATGAACCATAGGTGTCCTTTTTGGTTGATTGGCTTTGAAAATAGAGGGCCCTAGTTTACCTGGTGGTTCAATCAACAGGGCCATCTATTTTCCCCAAAAGGGCCACGAACTCGCACCAGAATTCGATCAGACTGGATGGTTCAGACCTAATCGCATCCTTCCAGATGCTGCTCAGCAAGCCCGGAAGCATGCAAGCATGCAAGCGTCGTCAGGTCCCCTACTTTTTGTTGAGGTCAATCACAACCTCCTTCCTTGCGGAGAAACTCTCACAATCCATAGGATTCGTTTCGTGCCGATCTTCCCACGGCCAAAGGATCCAGGTCTGTCCCGAGCCTCGGGCCCTACGGATCCCATGGCCATTTCATGCCTCAAGCTGGCTGCATCGCTCACGTGCTAAGGACGGGGCTTCCGAGATCTTTACGACTCTCGGCTTTGGAGATCGGAGGTTTCGCGCCTACTGAAGGGGCATGGGTGTGTTTGTGTGGGCGGGCGTAAGTCGGCGCATTCGAGGACTTGCTGCTCTGGTTCCCCTCCAAGAAGAACAGCCGTCGACAAACCTCCACCATCTTCGTCAACTTCCGTGCCTTCGCGAGAAGATTCGCCGAGCGATCGATCCAGTTGGAATCGGATGCGGTCGGCCTCCTGCCATTGGGTGACCTCGAGCCGTCTTGTGGGAATGTCGTCCCCGGATCTGAGTACGGGGGTGTCCTCCAAAAGTGGGTCAGGGGCACCCCGAGTCAAATCAACCAGGGCTTTATTCATCTGGGGTCAAATATCAAACGCGTAAAACAGCGCTCCTCCATTTTAGCAACAATGTCAGGCGGTTCTTTTTTTCTCTGGAGGAAATCCCAGTCCGCAAAAGGAGCCCTCTGGAAAATCAAGCGGGCCCCCAACAAAGTGGATTTGGATGGGGGTCAAAAGGCTGATTCGAGTACTTGCAAGGATTCGGGTGGTCAGCTCGGAAACTGAAGTGGACCTCGTTTCTCCGAATCCCACTTTCCAGGGGCAAAACGGCGTGGTCAACGAGAATGTTTTTTTCTTCCACATTTCAGCCGCACTTTTTGATGAGCAACCGCAGGAGTCCCTACTTATTGACAAACTCCTGCGCCTGGGATGGATGACCACGCATGGAGACCGGGATGAACCACTCATGTCACTTGCCAACTGCAGGGTTCTGTCCATCCACAGTATTATTTTAAGCCTCCCCCTGTTGCAGGTTTTGAGTTGCTTGACCATACGCTTGACCAACTCTGCCGGTACATTGACGTGGCTTGCCAACGTTGGCCATAACATTCGCCAGTGTTGGCAACAGGTTGGGCTGATCGTCTTGCCATCACGGCCAGCGCAGCAAGGTCAGTGGGTGTGGGCTTGCTCAACAGCAACTTTCGCCAATGCTGGTACAGCTGTTGAGCGACTTTAGCCAAAGGAATAGCATGACAGGATCCTAGGTGAGGTGTCCTTTTTGGTTGTTTTGGTGGAAAAATAGATGGCCCTGGTTTACCTGGTGGTTTAATCATCTACCAGGGCCATCTATTTCCCCTAAAAGGACACCTATGGACAGGATCCAGGTGTTTGTTTTTTTTCCCTCCCCAAGAACTGAGCATTCGGAGATTTGGTTTGGATTCTTTATTGGAACCTGGCTTCAAAAGCTGTGGCCACATGATGCGGAAGATGCGCCCAAAGCATGCGGAAGATTTCGGCGGCTCAAGTGCGGGCTCTCACTGTGAGTTGCTCATTCATAGAGAGGTGCATGCAATGACAAAAACCCAACCATCCTTTTACAGAAGTCGCGCCCCTCTAGGACTCACCCAGTGAATCCATTTCCAAGATGTGTGTGTGTGCCTGTGCGTGAGTTCTCTTGTGGAGATCCGCGGGTGAACATGTCACGCTTCAGGCATGTGACTTGGCATCCTTTAAGCCGACTAGGACCACCGCTTTGTTGCCTGGGGACTGTTGAGCCTTCTGTTGGATAAGTATGCCATGTTTCCAGATTATCCTCTTTTGTTCAACCACCCAGCTGACTAAGGAGTGAGTGGTTCTGAATCCTCACAGCCATACCCAGTGGCTCCATATACCTTGCAAAACCAAGCGGAAATTGCTGGTTACCTACTATATGGAAAACCTAAAATTTCTGGGATACCTTTGCAAGGTCCTCGATAACAACTCGTTTGCAAGAGTTTTCCGGGTGCACACTTTTGCCTGAGGCTCGCCGGAGTTTGCGCAGAGATTTTGGCAGGAGCCAGGCTCTTAGATGGATCATGACGGATCCATTTGGTTGGCGTTATTGAGGAAGCGAGCTCACTATGTTGGTCCTCCACCGGGGTCTCTCCAAAAACTTGTGTTTTTTTTTTTTTCAAACCCGTCCTTTGCGATTCGTTTCGACTTGCCATTCACACGCTGAAGGATGTTGCGGTCCTGCAGGTCGTGCTGACAGAGCTTTAGAGTCGTGCAATGCTGCGTGGCTTGCCCTCTTTCCAACAATCATGGAAGTGGCAAAAGTCAAGATGTCCCTTTCAGCGGAAGAGCCATCCTGAGAGGCGTATGGTTCGTTGCCCCAAGGTTGGGGGTATCAGGGGTCAGCGATTTCTGTGACCCTCGGTTTTCCTGGGTCCATTTTTGGGGTAACTGAAAGGCTACTTGGGACGTGGATGCACCATTCCCTTTCTGCCGGTATCACGGAAGGATTGCGGCAACTTTCAAGTGCACCCTGCATGGAAGTGCGCACAGGATCTCCGTTCCCAAGAGGAAAGCAGTTTTCCAAAAGGGGCTTTCCCTTTTTGGTGACTTGGATTATCACCTCTTGGGCAAATCTAGTTTGGCTTTTGGTGCCCCAAGCGCTTCATTAATGTGCCCCTAAGACATGGGGGTTGATCAAAAGGGGATGAGCATTGGGGGAAAGACTAAAAACGATGAGACATTTTCCTTCACGAAACCGGAAATGTCGCCCATGGACAGAACTGGGGGCCGTAATTGGAAGATTGAGATCAACCCCATGGTTTTAGAAGGCAAAAGTGCAGAAGGCCCATGGTTTGACACCGAGCTTCTCTTGCAACATGCGGTCGTTGCGCCCCGCCCACGCGGCGGAGTTCTCTCAGGTTCCACTCCCAGCGTCGAGCGGAGGGCAAGTTGAACGTGTCCACGGCTTCGGTGCAGGGCTTTACGGCCGGATCCGGGATGGAAGGGGGGGGGAGGACATTGGGCCGCTTCGGCAGCGGCCTGCGGTTTTGTTTCCCCGTTTTGGGTTCCCAGTGTGAGTGGCAAAAAGGTGATCACTATCACCTTTGATTTCCAGGTCCTCTGGGCAACTGAGTTGGGCGTGGTGGGAAAGCTGGTTTTAGGTGGCCCACTTTTTTGTTGGATGGGAAGCCCCGTTTGAAGTGAGGAACTAGTCATAAGGCAGGCCTGCTTTGGTGTCACAAGGCGCTTTTTACCACACACACACATGTGGAAAGGCCAGCCAACCCGGAAAATGGTCAAGGTCGAGCCATGGGAGTGGTTTGGTTGGAGCCTGGTGGGCTGCAACGTTTGAATGGGAAGTGCGCTCCAGAAATACACGAAGCCTGTTGCCACACAATGCGTCAAGACAAGGTTTACATAGGCACTTGTGGAATTCGTTCATGACCCTTAAAAAATGGGGTCATTGCCTCAAATAATGGGGTCATTACCTCAAATAATGGGGTCATGGACCTATGTTTCATTTCGGATCATGGAGACTCCAGGTGGCGGAATTCTTAATGATCAGGGACAACTCCGATTTGCCGACCGAAGCATGGCGAATTCTTCATGGGGCCCGGCACATGACTCTTCCAACTCTGGTTCCGAAGGGTTCCGAACTTGGCAAAGCTGTCCACTTTTGCCACCCAAACGCCCAGGTCGGCTTATGTCGGCTTGATGAATTACTCAACTAGGTCCCCCAGTAGAGCTCTTTTACCAACTTTTTTCGGGGGAGGCTTCCCCCTACTAAAATAGACTACAGAAAAAAGGGTACCCCTATTTTAACCTCTCTACCGGAGGACCTGTCATGATGTTGAGATTTTCTCCAATGGCCGCAATCAATTCTTGTTTCCTTTTCTCAGTAGATTTCTTTCTCTGGCTTGCTTCCAAGCTTTCTTTGGAAGCATGAGACGCCCGGACGCCAGAACAACTTTGTCAAGTACTGGCATCTCACTCAGAAGGTGCCTCGGCGGCCTAAGAAAGGCAACTCGGGAAATCGAAAGGTTGGTAGGATGTCCCCTCGGTGAGTCCGTTTGCCTTGTCAGTGACGACGTGCCTACTCGACTGGCATTGTTTTACATTGATGGTATTGACTTAGAATGTCGCTTTAATTGGTGTATTCTTCATGTTGTGTGTGCGTGCTGTTGATGACAAATGTTGATTAGCCTGTATTTTCGCAATGTTCAAAAAGGGTGTCAAGAGTCAAACCCTGAACCCCGCAAAATTGAATGAGCTCGGGAACCTGTTGGTTCCTTTCCGTCTCTTTGGGGGCTTCAACCCCTAGTTGCATTCCGCACCCTGTTTGTTTGTTGGGCAAGTATCCCGTTCAAATCAACCAAACACATAATGTGTTTGTCCCCGGGCCTACTGGACAAGAAAGACATCGAGCGTTTCAGGTGTCATCCGCGTGAATCGCGTTGAAAGCAAAGTAGCTCCTTTTCTGGGCCCATTTCGGTGCAGACATCTAGATCATTGAGCGCAACACCCAGTCCAGCGGCATGCTTCTCGCACTGGCTTTCCTTAACTTTGGTGCCTTTTTGCTTGGATGTTAGGACTTCAACTTTTTTGCCAACTAATGGGTTTCCATGAAACCGCTAAACATTACACTTTTTCCAGTGGAGCAGAAAGCAACCGAGTTAATTCCAGAATCACATATGACGCAGCCCTTGTCCTGTGGCAGCTGGCCAGGTAGAGAAACTCACAGAAGGTCATGCGGCTCTGAATTTTAATGGTTGGAACCCGCTGAAAAGTGATTGGCGGATATAAAGCCGGACCCAAATGATGTCCACCAAAGGGTCCCTAATTAAAATTCATGCCCATGTAAGCCATTGCCCAACTCTGCTACTCCTTGCCATGTGTTGGGAACGCAGACCATTTTTGAGCACCAAGCTGAGCAAGTACGTGTCCTCATGAGACTGGCCGCAGACGGGTTCTTGCAGCTTCTTTCCCTTTGAACCTTTTCCTGAATGAGCTTGAGGGCAAGACTGCGGCCTTCAAGAGAATCCTTGAGGATGTTGAAACAGGGGCGGAGAAATGATCACCCATAGATGCTTGTTTCAAGATACACCCCCTCAGACTAGCAGCTAGTCAGCTCCCAGGCCTCTTTAAATGGGAGCAAGTCTTCCAAATGGAGCTTCCATGTTACCCTGGAGGGAACCCTCATGTATGACCGTGGTTTCACCTAGCAGTTGGTGGTCATCCGCATCGTGAGCCGTGGTCCCATCGTGATCCCTGAGGAGGCCGGCAACATTTGCCGGCCCTACTTCGCCAGGGACATGCTGGATCAGGCTCCGGAGCCGGGGTGGGTGTCCGGTTTCGTTTTGGGCGGGGGTTGGACGGATGCAATCCACATGTGGGATGCAATCCACATCGGTACGCGGGCAAAAGCTGAAGCGTAGACCCCAGAGAGCATGGGAGAGGCTGCAACCGCAAGCTCTGACCAGCACCCTGACTGCCGTCGCAAAAGAAGCAACCCGAGCAACTTGCCACCGCGCCACCTTGAGCGCACCAAACCACACCCCGACCAGCACACACAACGGCACCTTGACCAGTACCTACAACAGCACCCTGACTGCATCTTGACAGCACCCCACCACAACCCGCAGCACCAACCTGGCCCGAACTCGCAGAACAGCCGCATGTTCAGAGGTATAAGAACCCCTAAAATTATGTAAATTATAGCTTTCAGATATCTGCTGCAAAAAGCGCCTGCCATCGCCACAACCTCCAACAGCACCCCAAACAGCAATTCAACCCCCGAGCACGCCGTCAATCTTGCAAAATGCAGCACCACCCCAACATGCCCCCGAGCACCCTGTGGTCAATTTCGACCAATTGCGCCCACACCTCAAACAGCACCCGAAACAGCACCCCAAACAGCACCCCAAACAGCACCCGCGCCAGCACCCCAAACCCCCAAGATCGAATCTTGATTTTTCCAAAAGGCACCTGTCCCTGTGGGCGTAAATGGAATAATCAGAATAAGTCGGCCAATCAATTCGAAATGATACTTGTACCACCCCACCCACACGACCGGATCTGAGCTTGTGGTTTGTTGGTCCTTGTGAGTGACCCCAAAAGGTGTTTTTTCCCAGATCCGAAGGGGCAAGGTCAGGCGTTCTTGGCTGAAGCTTGGAAGCCTAGGTCCGTTGCTTATGCCCTTCGCATCCCTTGGCATTCCTTGGGCGCTCAATCCGTTCGCTGGGAGTTTTTGTCCACATCGGCCCACGGTTATGGGTTAATTCTTAGTGGCTCGCTCGTCTATGAGCTTTCGTGGATCTGGCTGCGCCGGCGCGATCCGCGATTGGACTTAGGTGACGCCAGAGACGATGGTGCAAGCACGCAAGATCCAGGACCAGCTCCGAAATGAAGGCGCTCCGTGCTTGTTTTGTTTGTTTGTTTGTTTGTTTGTTTTTTCCCCGGATCTTTAACAGGACGTTTCCCTTAAGGGCCCTAATTTTGCTCGTTTGATTGTTGCGGTTTTCCAGATCTTTAAAAGGACGTTTCCCCGAGGGCCATAATTGTGGTTGTTGTTGTTTTTTGTTCCGGATCTCTTTAACAAGACGTTTTCCCTAAGGGCCATGAATTTGGTTGTTGTTTTCTTGATCTTAAAAGGGCGTTTTCCTAAGGGCCAGAAAATTGGTAGTTTGTTTGTTTTGTTTCTTCCGGATCCAAAAGTCTAGGGGTTGATTCCCCATTCCTTTCAAGCATCGTTCTTTCCAGAAACCGGCCGTTCCCCCTGGGTGTCTAGAGGTTTTCTAGAAGGATCCGGGTACCCTAGAAAATCCTGCACCTAAGAAACGCAACGGAATGGTTCGACTCCCCAACGTAAAGTTCAACGTGACTTTTTTACTGCGATCCCAGAAACGGCAGGTGAATTCTGGGAAAAGGCCGACGTTTTCCCTTTGAGGTCCCCCGCAAAACCCCCACCCCCCGATCCCCCGATGGAGCTCAGCCTGAGCGCTTGCCAGTCCCTCGCTCCGAGCCCGCTTGCCCAGCCGGGCGTGGTTTGACCGGGCGACGGTGACGGATGCCCAGAAGCGGCGGATGTTTTGGGGCTGTTCCTGTTTTTGTTGAAGGATGCTTGGCGGATTTTTGGGGGGCTCTGTCCCTTATTTTTTTTGGGGAGTTGGGGAACGGATGGTGCCCAGCGGCGGGTTGTCCTCTTTTTTTTTTGGAGTTGGGGAAGGTCCGTTTTGGGGGTGTCGGTCCCTTTCTTTTTAAAGGGAATTTTGGACCCCCCAAAAGGGCAACGGTTCCAAAGCTTTTGGCCTCCCTTGAGAATCAAAAAACGACAGACCCATTTTTGCGGTTTCTTTCGAAACCCAAAGGGGACGAGCAACTGTAAAACATCGGCCCTTTTTTAGCGCGAGCTGGCCAATTCCGGGGCTATAGCGAGCTACAGCCATGATGAAAATGTCCTTTACTTGCGGAAATCCCTTAATTCAGCTTGTGGAATTGCAGTACGATGTGCAGAAACATGCGGTCCAGACCTATTTAGAAGTTGGTGCCCTGTGTTGCCAAGTGTCTGTGATGGAAGGGGACGGATGCCAATCACATTCCACGCCCACCTGCTTACCAGGCCAATCGAGCTCAGGAAGGTTAAGAATTCCTCATGTTTGGAGAGCGGGAGTCTTGGCTTGTGCTTACAAGCAGGTTGGATGGCGGAGCTTTGAAAGCGATGTCGAAGGGGGGGTACCAACAAACAAAGAAAGAAGCACCCACCCACTTTCGTTTGACCACTGGGTCATTCAGGCCTTCCATTCATGCTCAAACATGGAAACACGGGAATTCACCCATGATTTCAGGGCAGTAACCCATTTTCAAGTTTTGTATTTCTTGCGGTTTTTCGGGTGGTTTCCCTTATCCATGGCCTGCCGCGCACGAATCCGCCCACCGACCCCTGCCTCCCCGCACGCACTCCGCACCCCGCAAGCCACGCGCGACGCAGCGAGCGCCCCAAGGTGGACAGACACCACGCTGGTGATCCGGAACTTGCCGGCGGAAGTGGAAGATCAGCAGCAGGCGCCAAGCCAAGCCCTGGGCACCGGTGTCGCGACTGGTTCTAGGCCCTCCAGCCAGATGCCCTTTCTCACCAGCTTTTTGGGTTGGGAGGGTTCCCCTACTACAATAGACTACAGCAATGGTTCCCATAATCTAACCTCTCCACTGGAGGACCCAGGGTTGGGATTCCTCAGAAATTCGATTTGCCTCCATTGGACCTTAGGGTTTTTTCCACCCCACCAATAAATCTATCAGAGGATTGGACCTTAGGGGGGTTGATGAAGGAATCTTTGAGGGAAGTTTGGGTGCACGGTCCCAGCGTCCAATTGCTTAAGTTAGTTTCCCTTGCTGGTTTTAAAAGGATTCGATTTCAGATTTGCTGAAATGTGTGTGTTTTTCTTCTTGGTTTCATACCTTCCATTTACGACATTTTATTGATTCCACCTTCCATTTCGCCATGTGGAACCCCCATTTCGGAACACCAGGGCTTTGCCATTTGCTGAAGTGATTTTCAAAATTCCCCCTTGTTGGTTGTAAAGGGAATCAGCTTCACTACTGGGCATTTTGTCTCATTGTTTCCAGGGGGCGAAAAAGCCAAATGGAAGCTACCACACGTTGTAAGTTGAAGGGGCCTGGCTATTATTTTCTACTATGGAACGGGGCCTGCCTATGTCCCATGTCCAAAACCCCTCCAACATACCTTTTGAGCATACCCCAAGCTTCCCATGATGAAGATTCCTTTCAGAAGGCGTCCCGGAATGCTCAAAAGGTATGGTGGAGGGTTCTTGGACCATGATTGCATCAAGGATTTCCGATTCCCAAAGACCATGTTGGGAACCAGTTTCCCGTGTAGGATTCTTATTCGGGTTAACTGGCGAAAGGACACCAACCCTGGCTTGCAAGAGGTGTCTGGTTTGGCCGCCTAGCACCGCCCGGGAAGAATTGTGGTCGCTTGGTAAACTTGGAGAGATCAGCGGCTTCCCAAGAGAAGGATTGGACACGACACGCGTCCGCCAGTGTCTGAATCCGGAACTATTTCCCTTCCCACTAACGTGGCACCTGCCTGATCTTCCAGGTGCCCTCCCATCCGTACGGATGGCAGGTGTTAGGCTGCCTTCCTGCATTTTGCGCGAGTTCGACCTGGAGGATGCTGGTGTAAAACCTGGAGTGAGTTGGTTGGTAGGTAAGGGTGCCCGTTGACAAAGGTAGCTCCCCTTCAACCAGCCGCAGAATGACCATGCAATGGGCGTCTTCCCAAATCCTGTTTGCTTGGGGTAGGCTAAACAAAGAACAGGACCAGAGGGTATTCAGAGAACCCTGGATTGGCGTTTGGATTGGTTTACGGGATGTGAACCCTTCTTGTAGCTGGCAAAAGAAAAGAAAGCCTCCAAACCACCGCTTCGGCTCCAGGGAAGCTGAAATTTGTGGGCGTGTCCTTTTTTTGAGGGGAGAAACCTTTACAGGAAAACCGCTGCGCCATTTTGGCGGGTCCAACCTGGAAAAAGACAGACCCAGGTAACCCGGTGGATCCATCTGCCAGGTCACCAAGGTAAAGCAACCTTAAAAAACCAAATGTTCACAATTTACCTGTAGGCAGCCAAGGGTAAGCAACCTTACAAAACCAAAAGTTGACAATTTTCCTGTAGGTCACCAAGGGTAAGCAACCTTTCAAAATCAACAGTTGAACATCGCGAAGGGTTACCTGTGGCGAAACACCTGCGGTCTCCGGGTGTAGGTCCTGCAGGATCGTGCCCTTTCTCACCAACTTTGTTTGGTGAGATTCGGTTCCCCTACTAAAATAGACTACAGATCGGGTATGAACTTCTTCTAACCTCTCTACTGGAGGGCCTAGTATGACAATTCCCCGATCTCTCGCAGGCGATGAGATGGCTGGCCGACCTGGGCTTTGGCGCCTTGACGCGGTTCTTAGCTTTGCTGAAAACCCCGCGGCCGGGGTTTTCTAAAGGTTTTTGTATTACGCCCTGGGATTACACCCTGGGAAATGACACCACTTAGGCATATTTCCGGGAGAAGGTCATGTTAATTTATAACCATTTTGGGGCCATTTCTCAAGGGTGTAATCCCAGGGTATACAACAACCCTTAGAACTTAGAGACTTTGTGCCCTTGGATTTTTTGCGGGATGCTGTATAGGTGTCCTTTATTTCCGGGAATTGCCTCGGCGCTATGTCGCTTGGAACATTGCTCACCGCAAATCGTTTGGGACTTGGTTTTACCTGTCTCCCAGTTGTGTCTCTTTGGCGGCCAGGGTCACAAAACTTCCCCAGAATTAGCTCCCCGTTGTTTTTCTTTGCTTTTTTGGGGTCCCTTTGTTTTCCACTCACCAGGCAAAAAAGACCCCTTTTTGCTGGGGTCCTAATTCCAGCCTAGAAAAATGGGTGATTCGTGTGCAGGTCCTTTGATTGCAAGTAGGGCAACGGTCCGGCCGAGGACGTGGCTACACCTTCTTCTTGTACGTTCCACGAAAATCGAGCCTTGGCCAGAGAGGCCTTTCCTGGCGACGTCGGTTCGGGCCAAGATGTTGAGGGCACAAAGAGGGTCACTGTTTCCAAGACCATGAGCCATGTCTCAGTTTAAGCCTGTTCGCATTTTTCAGTTTTAGCCTTGAACTTCAACCGCTTACTTCGTGGCGGAATTAGAAGGGGGCTTGGAAGGAACGCACACACAGATTCACCCCCCCCCCCCCCCATTTTCACGGCCCGCCCCATTTCACGGGTTGTCGCTGAAATGGTGCGACCCGTTTTACACAAAGTGCAAGGTCTTCCAAAGGAAGGCGATGTTGATTCTCCATTACTTTGTTCTTTTCACCCATCCTCTTTGAAGTCACCTATATGTCCCCGTGTTTGACAAGAAGAGGCCCTCTTTCAGGAGGAGCCAAGTTCCGCTGGTTCCGGCACGAGCCCGTGGAACAAGACAAAGTCTGCTGACACCATGGATCGACGCCATGGATCCATTTCAATCCTCGCCGGATTGTTTTTTCTTCCGACTGAGGCACCCCTTTCCGACCCTCCAACTTGAACTTGCGCGGGACAAGTGTGTGTGTGTGTGTGTTCCCACCAGCCTTGTTGTTTGCGCCCATGGCTGGCAACCACGTCTGAAGTCACGGCAGTCGACCGATGGGACCCTGGGACTGGTAGCCTCCGTGCTTCAGGGTTCGATACTTTGCCCCAAGAAGCAAGCCTAGGCGCCCAGGATCGTGCCCTTCTACCACCTTTTTTGGGGAGGGTTCCCCTACTAAAATAGACCACAGAAAAAAGGTTGCCTTTATTCTAACCTCGCTACTCAAAAACCTACAAACTCACCATACTTTAGCGCGTGGCTTCTTGTGATCGCTTTATTTCCGAGTTTCGCCTTCCAGGTTCTCAAGGGAACATGCCCGATCCTGTCATTGCTGGTAGTTTCCCTTTTGAGGAAACTCGCGGCAGGGCCGTTGCCGGAGGTTTCAACAGTTGTCCGAAGTCGAGCTTTTGCCTTTTTTTCCAAAGTCGTCGATTTGGCCATGGGTCATCGCCTATGCCTCCATTTTGGGGCGGACGAACGTCCATGGACCACCGATTTTGATGTTCACCAGGGGTACAAGGTTTTGACCCACAGCCATTTTAGGCATGACCCGACAAGGCGAACCTGTCCTTTGGGCAGCTGAGTTGAGGTGTTTGATGTTCTGCCTTCAAGTTATCTTGTCTCTAAACGGGCGGGTCTTGAATAGAATACCTGTCCAGGTCAACATACCAGCTTTGGCAACCCCTTACCTTTGTTTTCTCCGAAGAACCTTTGCTACCTCTGCTATTGTTGCTGTTGCTGTTACTATGTATTGCTGTTGCGGTGGTTGCTGTTGCCGTTGCCTTCTCTGTTGCTGTTTCGGTGGCAGTTGTTGTTGGTTTGTTTGTTTGTTTGCTTGCTTGCTTGTTTTGTTTGTTTTTTTGTTTGTTTGTTTGTTTCTTTGTTTGGTTGGTCGGTTGGTTGGTTCGTTGGTTGGTCGTGTTTGTTTGTTGGTTTGCTTGTTTGTTTGGTTGTTCGTTTGTTTGCTTGCTTCTTGATTTGTTTGCTTGTTTAGTGGTGGTGGTGGTCGTCGTGGTCGTCGTGGTCGTGGTCGTGGTCGTGGTCTTCGTTGTGCTCGTGATATTTGTTGCCCTCGTTTTGCACAGAAGCAGACTCTCGACTCGAGGAACGCCATGAAGAACGCCGCGAGCTTCGCATACGTCTTTGTGAACTACCAATCCCCGCTGCAGGCGAAGGCCCTTCCGGCGGCGCAATGGGCGCGGGAAGCACAGGGATCGGGTTCATGTCGGGGGCAACTTGCTCGGAGGTTCCTCTAATGGGCTTTGGTTTGGGGGTTCCAGCTGAATCTGCAGGAGAGTCCTTCAGTTGTTCAGGGGCACCTGAATTCCTTTCTGTTTGGTCAACTCCTCACTCAAATTGTGATCAGATTGTTTTTCCAGAGTCACTGCCCACAGCGACACCCTCTTGACAGCATCGTTAATCTGCGCTTGGACCCGAATTAGAGCGTGCGGCGTTGTCCCATCCCCCTGTCCACAAACTGTTAGAGTTCGTTGCAAGTTAGTAGTGCAAGTCATCTTTTCCAAAAAGCTAAAAGTCCAAGATCCAACTTAACAGCAGCCAAGTTGTCGCCATCTTTTAGTGTGAAGAGGTTGTCCTTTGACATCAGCCGGCAAACGCAGGCACCGACCAGGTTGCAACCTAGGTTGGTGAGACAACACGAATTGCTTGATTTACGCATTTAATCAGTTAATGTCTACAAGCTGCTTATATATATATATAGTGGTACCGAATGGAAAACCACCATTTGGGGGGGTCTCTTAAAATAACAGACACGCCCATACATATGTGTATATATATATATAGGGCTACCATACTATCTATATATATATATTCCTTTGGCCTAGTATGGTGGCTGCTGGTGCCTTGTGAGCTTGTGAAGGTTCCACCGTGCATTTTGCCTGGCCCAGTTCCCTTGGATGTGGGAACGCCCTGGAAATATCCGATGGATCCGAAGGTTCAGAGAGCCCTTCCAGTGGAGGCCTTGGGTTTTCTTGTGCCCTGTGATCTTATTTGGCTTTGTCTTGTTACCTCGGAGGTGTCGACCATAGTTCCTATTTTCAAACCGAGAACTAGTCGTTGGCTATCCGGTTCTCCAGTATTTGCTTTCTTGCCCATCCGTTTTCTCGTCCTTCCCCATGCCCCCTCGGCTGTTGCCCCAACATACGCGCTTTGGAGAAAGCTGCCTGCGTGCTGCCTCATGTCATGCTGCTCAGGAGCCCCAGTCACAATTTTTCCATTTCTGCCCGACGTGCTCTTCCCATTGAGGCCAATAATGAGTGGGGTCTTCCTTTTGACTTCTCGGGCGGCAAAACATCACTCCCGAATCCCAACATGCTCTTCTGACCAAGACCCCAGAACTTTTCACCATGGAACAAGTCGACACTCCCCGACTTCCGCCGCGTTTTCGTTTTCTGCTTTGGCCGCAGTCCTGCTACCATGGGCTGCAGCACAAAGTCTTCAAGGGCACGCCTTTGAGCGTGGTGGCTTCCAAGATCCAGGGCCAACAGGCCTCGGCATGTCAGACGGTTCCATGGCGCTTGCCGTGGCATGTCTCTGGTCAAACGTGCGGCCAAATGTTCGGGGCAACTGTTTTTGTTTTTTTTCTTTTTAAACTGGGGGGTCATCAGCAATGGGTTTTGGGGGCCATCCGGATTACGAATCATTCGCTCATTGCCTGCTGAGAGGCAACGCATAGATTGTTCCGTGCGCAATGGTGTGACCTTGTTTTGGCACTCCTTGAATGATTGTTTGCCTCTTCTTTGATGGTGCCTTACAGACAATCCAGCTGGTCAGATGGCTGCACCCAAACCTCCCTCTGGCATCATTTCAAGCTAAAAGGGGATCAGGAGACAGGCCGCGGGGTCGTTTCATAGCTAAGAATGATGAATCCCTGCAGGCCCGGTGTTTCATGGATGCCTTTTAAAACCCCGTTGCTCGTGTTCCAAAAGGACGCGGTTTTTGGGGAGTTGTTTTCCCCAGACCCATGCAACCCAATCAAGTTTTGTCACCTTTGCTCGGGATGCAAGGTTTACAGTTCTCGAAAGGCAGCCGTTAAGGCACACACGCATGTTGATTGGGGGGAGGAGATGCTGCGCGCTCAATTGGCCTGAGCAAATGCGCGCGTAGCTCAGACATTTCCTCTTGGTGGCCATTGCCATCCACTTAGCTTTGTAGTTTGTTTCGGGTTTAGTGGGGAATGTCCGCTAAAAGTTAGTCAATTTGAGCGGGGGAACCGGACCGAGGCCAGTCCAGTTTGTCAAAAAGCACAGGTCGCTTGGGGTGAGCAAACCCATGGGTTGTTGACCCCAAACCCAGTTAAATAATGGGGGGGGTGTCCCTGGGATCAGTGGGCAGTCATGATTTTTGGAGGGGAACACTGGGTTGATTAATATGGGGTCTACGTTTTAAACGGTTTTACGCCCTTTCTGAAGCAGCCGCCAGGCGTGCCTTGACCACTTCAAGAACCTCTCGGCCAGCGGAAGGCGTCAAACTGCATTCGTTTCGCCCGAGAGTTTGGGTTGAAACAGGAAGGCTGAAGAAGGCCGAAGGAAGCTTACGGAGCCGAGCTGATGTGATAGATCAGAATGAAACCAACAGAGAACCCCAGGTTTCTGAGATTCTGGTTTCCATTAATGACCCTGGAGGTCACAGTTTGGGTTTTGCGGACCTCCGGAGGTCACATTTTACCTTTCGCCACCTTTCTGGACCCCGAAAAACAGGGGTCAACTGGGACGGCCAGGGTCCCCTGGCCTTTCAGCCGAGATCGACTCCGTCAGCTTGGTTGCAAAGGGAAAATCAACTGGGTGTGGGTAAAAATTAGACCACCAGGGGACCGCAGATTTTGTTATGTTTCCACTTACCAGGGCAAGCCATTTTGGGTACCTATTCTTGACCCACCGCTAACTAGACAGTCACCACTTGGGGGTTCCTACGGCACGTTAGCCTTCTGCTTCGCTTTTCTTAGTCATTGACAACATGTGCACCGTACGCCCCCTTCTTCGCGGTCGGTGAGTCGCACCCAGTTTTCCCCCTTGACCGGTTCCATCATCGGTGCGGTCCCGGAAGTTTTGGGTAGTTGCAACTGCGCAAAAGGTCAACTTTTGGTGCCTCGAGGCTTGAAGCTGCCCATTTCTGTAGGTAAGGGAGCCAAAGCTTGGCCGAGCCAACAACCATTCTGGTCTGAGATGGCGGAGAGCTCTCGCATGTCATTTGAGGATGAAGAGATCTGAATGGCCAGGATCTAACATTTGTCATTTTTAATTAAGCTGAGGTAAAATAGGACGCAAGCTTCTCCTGCAGGGCGATATGGGAACGAGACTCACCTCTCCGACTGGGGCTATTTGTATTTAAAAAAAAATCCTCCGCAAAGCCTGGCACAGGGGCTCTCTACCATTCTCTACCTGGAGTCTCCGTGACCCTTCAAAAATGGGGTCATGACCCCACTAGTTTTGGGTGACCCCATTTTTCAGGGGTCATGGAGACTCCAGGTAGGCTCGACATTTCCTCTTGGGCTTCGTGGAATGTTTGTCCTCTTGGCGGCTTTCCTTCGCCCGGACGCCGGTTGCCAGGCTGGTTCCTTATGTTGCAGCCGCGACCTGAGGTAAGAGCGAGTTGGTCTCCCAGACCTCAAAGTCTGATTGCAGAGTGTGGAAGGGCGAAATCCATTTCGCACCACCTAACAACCCCCGGAATGATGATCCCCCTTGAAAATACCAACAAACAATAGCTTCTCATGGGTTCAAAGTGGTGCGAACGGATTTGTTCCATCCACAGTAGGTCCATGTTGGGCCCTTTTTGGGACTTATTTCCCATAATTAATTAAGCCACAACGAACGGTGAACCAATCCAAAAACTAGGGTTTCATACCAAGGCAAACGTATACATTCAGCCTTTGATGCACTGAGAGGATCCATGTACCCATGTGGCTCAACATTTGCTAGAGCTAGGGCAAGCCGCAGGTAGTGTTCGTTTCCATGTGGCCCTTGGGGCCATTTTGGGGATGCAGCCGTGTTTAGGCCCAAGTCACAAACGGAGTGGGGGCTGTAGGAAAAGGGGGATTGTGGAAGAACTGTGGGGGCTGGGATTGTGAGGACAGTGGCGACTGTGGGGAATGGCACCAAGTACTTTTCCGAGACAGAAATCCACGCGCGCACGTCCAAAAACTCGATCAAAGAATCCGAGCCCCTGGCGATCGCTGAGATTTGGTGAAAGTTTGGCCCAAAGCAAATCAACTAAAATCTGACGAAGATTGGGTTCTCCCAGCACTTTGGGTCCACTGTGAGATCTTTGAGTGGGTCAGGGTGAATTGAACTTTTTGATTTCCAGGTCCGAACGAACTGAGTCTCCCGGAGCTTCAGGTTTCGGATTTCGGGGACACAAGCGAATCCAGGGTGCATTGGGGTTCCTTTTAGCTTCGGTTTGATAGAAACAGACGGGTTCCATTGGTGTAGCTTGGATTTTTATGTTCAATTTGCCGGGGAAGCCCATCGATTTTGCCAACAGTTCACTTATGGTCACCTATCTTTGGTGCATTTTGCTTGGCTGTTAGGACTTTAACTTTTTGCCAACTAATGGGTTTTCCACTAAACCACTAAAAATAAAACTTTTAGCAGGGGAGCAGAAAGCAACCGAGCTATGGTCACCTCCAATTGCAGATGTTGAAGGTTGAGCCAGGCACCACCTTGTTCGTAAGGGAGCCCAGCGAGCCCAGCCTGCACCCAACCCATAGATTTGGTTTCGCCGGAGTGGTTTCCTGGGTCGGTTTCGGTCCAGAGTTTCGAGGATCCGGGGGTTTTGGGGCATGTCCGTAGCCCATGTTGAAAAGACAAATTAATAGCTGGAGTCTCCGTGACCCTTTAAAAATGGGCTCATGACCCGGGTGATTATCTTTTTTTAAGAGGTCATGGAGACTCCAGGTACTGAACAACACAAGAACGGACGGACGATGGTTTTTCCAGCCCCCCCCCCCCCCAGCCTGCCAGGCTCCGGATGTGATGCACCCAGTTTTCTGGGCCAGGGAAAATCTCCCAGTTGCCCAGTGGCGCCCTGTCTTCCTCTATTTTTGTGTGAAGGGCTCCCTTTAAATTTCAACCCTTCCCCAAAAGAATCGGAAGGGTTCCCTTTCAATTCAACCAACCCCTCAAAATTTCGGATGCCGATCCCTTTTGGTCCCCTGAAAATCCACTGGCACCCACATGGAGTCTCCATGACCCTTAAAAAAAGGGGTCACTCCCCAATTTCCGGGGCATGGACCCATTTGAGGTCAAAATTTGACCAGGACTTGGTCTTGGTCCTTTCCATAGGGCAACCCATGGCTGGGGTTACCGGCCATTTTTGACCACCACCGCCCATTTTTTGAGGGTCTAAGGAGACACGCTTTCGGCCCAGGAGCCCTCCGAGGAGTCTGGCATGGGGCGGTTGTTCGTTTTTCTCCGGAGCTCGGGGGTTGGGATTTGGTCGTGGGGAATTCGTGGGGGGTTTTGGGCCAGGAGGCCTCAATTCGCGCCCTGGGGCCGCCCCCTTTTTTCCGCCCTGCAAGCCTGGATAGTAAATGGGAAATGCATGGGCCGGGACCCAGGAGAATTCCCTCCCCCCCCCTGTTGCCCACTTTTTTTGGGGGGGAGGGTTCCTTTACAGAAAAAAGTGGGTACCCACTTATTCTAACTCTGAGCCACTCGCTCAAAACTCGGGGGATTGATGGTTGGGTTAGCAAGGGACAATCCCCTTGCCAGAAATAGCTTCGGATATCCAGCTTAAGTCTTGAAGCATGGCTCTGGGATTACGACCATTTTAGTACCGGTTTTGATTATGACTCTCTGGTCGTTGTGAGGATCGTGGATCCATGGCTTGGTTTCTCCACTGGTTCTGTGAGAATTTGATTTTGTTGCAGCCCTGTTGGGGTAGAAAGCCTTTGCAAGGGAGGTTGCAGAGGGAGGCTGTTCAGAGGAAAAGGCCAACCCTTTGTTGATTCATAGTGGGCAACAGATCCCTGGAGATATGGAATGGAGTCTTGGACCGCCCCCCCTCCGATTTGTTTTTCTACCCCTAAGAAGGGCTGGGTGAGATTTCCAGTCAATATTTCTCTGAGATGGCCCCGTTTTTTGGCTGGAATCTTTCCTGCGGATACCCAGGAGTGGTTTTGAAAAGAACGATGGTCGCACAGACGTTTGGGAACTTTAATCTGACGGCGTCGCGCTAGGATGCAAAGCCCGGAATTTGCGCAGGGTTTCGCAATCCACGTTTCGTGGAGATTTGAACATTTCGTTTGGGGGGCCCAAACAAAGGACGGCCTGTTTGTTGGCATGGAGATCTTTGCGCGGGCTATCAACCTGATGGATTCTTGCCCCCCCTTCCCTGTAAAGGCTTTCGCTCAATAAGTTTGGCAACCGGGGGCTTGAAGAATCCGGGTACCTAACCAAACAGTCGCCCTTTCCGTGGCATTTGTTTTTCTGAACTTGGGGCTTTTGCCCGATGAGAAATTCATTCGCCAGTTGATACATTCAGCTCCCATGAGAAAGGTGATCTCTGCTGGCTTCACTGGGCTCAAAGAAATGCAGGGCTCCTTGAAAGATAGATTTTGCCACCAGTTGCAACATGTTGCTTTTTCAGCACCAAGAATAAAGTTGGAAACCACCATTTACAAGTTGCAATGTTCAGGTGTTTTCATGTATCCCTGAAATCGGCCCCTTCGTGCCCTTTTTCGTACCTGTTTCGGAGGGGGAGAGAAGGTCCACTGGCAACAGCAGTCTGGGGCTCTGGGGTCTAACTGTCAACACGCCCAGTGGCCCAGTGTGTGTTTTTTTTTCCTCTGGTTTGCGACGAGCGACGAGGGCTCGCTCAACTTCCAATCACAAGCGGGAAGCCGCGTGCCATACTTGCGTGGCCGTCTCGCATCGAGCGGTAGGAACATAGGATTGGAGCCTTAGCGCAACTCAAGCAACAGACAATGACTCTCGTAACTCTGAGGGTCTTTGACTTACACCCTGAGATTACACCCTTGGGAAATGACCCAGAATGGTTCAACATAGCACGGTTTTATGCAGACACGTGCCTAAATGGGGTCAATACCCAGCGGGTGTATTCCCAGGGTGTAATACAAAACCCTTAGAATCACACGGAAGGCCCGACGGGTTCAAACGGTAGATGCCGTGTTTGTCGACTTTGAGGACACTTCCAGAAGCAGATCGCACACACCTGGCCAAGAAGTGGCCACTTGTCTGTGATTTTTGGGCATCGCATTTCGGGGTTTCAAACGGCAAAATGTTGCATGAGAACGAGTTGACTACTCCTTGATGTGCATATATTTATATATATATGTACATATGTCTATACATACATGTTTGCACACATACTGTGAATGGATGGAATCCTACACCACTTATAACAAACCCTAGAATGTTGTTTTTTTTGGTAAATTCAGACCATGGTTTCAAAGTGATTTCAAAGTGGTGCTTTGACGAATTTAATTTGTGAATTCACAGTTTTTTTGTGTGTATGTGTTTCACAGTCACCTCGACAAATGTCTACCGTCTCGCGGTCTTTTTCCCCATGGGCTGCCGCTTTCAGTTCCGGAGGGGTTCAACTGGAGCCAGGCGGTCCCCAGCGGTGGGGTTGGGGATGTCACATGACTTTGTTGCATTTTGCTTGGATGTTAGGGCTTTAACTTTTGGCCAACTGATGGGTTTTCCGAATTAAGCCACTAAAAGTTAGTCACTGTTAGCAGGGCTTGGCAGAAAGCAACCGAGATGACGTCTTCCGCAGCTGGAAGCTTGGGGCTCCCAGCTGGGCTCTTGGTGTTTGCAGCTTGGGAGGGATCCTCCAGGAGAGTTGCCCAGTGGTGCCCTTGTTTCATTTTCTTGGGGAAGGCTTCCCTTTAAACTCAGCCCAAAAAAGGGTGCCGATTCTTTTCTTCCCCTGGAAACCCACTGGGCATTTGAGAGGTTCGCAAGAAAAAGGAAGTACCTAGAGTCATGAGCCTTCAACAAATGGGTCCATGTTTGCTTCGTGGGTAATGAACCCATTTTGTAAGGGTCAGAAGGAGAGGTGGGGCAAAATCAGGTCTGGGGATAGCCGAGGACGCTCGGGTACTCTCCTGGCAATGATGGTCCTGTTCGCCAGGCCGCCGGGCTCTCGAAATCGAAGGCTGGAGAATCCCACTATTGGTGTCCCTTGAACATACCTGAGAAAAGCCCACGGTTTTGTTTCTTGCTTTTCTACCCAGGCTGATCAACGTTTTTGTTTTTGGTTGTATGGATTTCCAAGCTTCTCACTTCCTGAGTGACCCGTGACTCGGACTTGAGCTCGTCACTTTTTTGGGCTTGGACCACTAAAACATTTTAGTGGTAAAGTAGAAGTTTGTTTTTTTGGCAGTCTACTTAGGATGTGACTTAAAACAAAAGTCGCCAGATTTCCTGAAATTGTTTCCTCCCCTGAAACGAACCAGCCAAAAGGGGCTCCTGAGTATTGAGCGTGTTCGATTTAGGCCAAGCGTTTGCAAGGATGTCCGGATGAAGTGATGCTGGATAGCATATATATATATAGATAAGTATATCAATGTCATAATGGTAAAGAAGGCCTCCTGCTTTATGGCCTGCCATGGCCATCTGTCAGAAGCTATATCAGAGCATGTTGGACATGGAGAAACAGAGTGGCGCCTGAGCTGCCAAAGCAGTTGCCCCGGCCCACCCCACCTCCAACAAAGGGCCCCTGGTTTTGTTCGTTTTGTCATCTTGACTGCTATTGGGTTGGATTCTTAGAGTTTATTTAACTTTGTGAAAGTCAAGGGGTTTTCCGCTAAACCCCCGAAAAGTTAAACTTTTTGCAGGGGGGTCAACAGCAACCAAGTCATCAGGTGTATCCCTTAGGGCCCTGGGTTATGCTTCCAAAGGCGCTTGTTGCGCGTTGTGAGGCCCAAGTAAGTCTTGGTGTTGCGGTTTTGCTCTTTGGTGTGTGGGGCTACGAGGTAACCCTTGGTTGGTGGGTTGGATTGGTGGCTTGGGGAGTTGCAAACCACCAGTCCAAACCACAAATTGGAGGGAAGCTTCAAGCTCGTTGGGAGAATGCCAGTGACGTTTGCCAAGGCCGGCTTGGCTGCACTCCGCTTATGGCTGGGATGTCCCACCTACCTCTTCAGGACATCCCCAGTCATCTCTCTCTGAGCCATGGTCGAAAATTTGGCAGGTTGAGCTTGCCACCAGGCATACTTGTATTGTTCCGAAATTTCCTCAGGTCCGAAACCCAGAGGATTCATAGGAACGCGCTAATCTCTTTCGCCCGCAGTCAAATTTGATTTCAAGCAAAACCGAGCGCAAAGCAACTGGGCGCAGCTCTAAAGCGGTTTTCCACAGCTGCTAACTTAGGCATTCTCCAAACATCAAGGTCCGGTTTTCCCTGAAAAGAGGGACCTTTCTGACAGGCAGGAGGAAATCCCAATTTCTGTTCTTCCTGCTTGCTGGCAAGAAGGGGCTGAGGCCAAGTTCTGCAGAAACAGGCAATATCCGTCTCAAGCAACATGGAAGCTGCACAGGGGTGCCCTTGCGAGGAACAGTGTCTTCCAGGAACCCCATGTGCAGGTTCTATGGTTGTTTCGGGAGAGTACTTTTCCTTTTGGCTACCTTTCAAACAACCCAAGTCCCGTTTCGACCATGGCGAGCAAATCGCGGTCGTTTTTTCCTCTCACGTCACACAGGTGTTTGCATGACTGCCGGGTGACCTGTGCGGATGGCGACAAATTTGAGGCCGCGTCAACTTCACTTGGTCGTTCCCAGCCATCCTTAGCTTTTCAGTCTTTCAGGGTTTAGTGGGGGTTCCCACTTAACTCACTCAATATTAAACTTTTAGCAGGGGATCTGAGGACAGCCCAGTTTATGTTGCCCTTTTTCTCGCCACCAAAAGCAAGGTGAACTCCAGGCTATTCCCGGAATTTGCCAGGATTGTTCCCTTCAGTTCTGCAAGAAAGCGAGCAGCACAATTTGGGGAAGCGGTTTGTTTTCAAGCCGTGCCTCTAGGCCGCTGGGACCATACTCGGTGTTCAGCCCCTCTTTTTTATTTCTCCCTTGGTGTCTATCTTCCTACAAATACTCAACCCGCAAAAGAGTTCCAATTCTGTTTCTACGGGGGGAACTGAGCAACTGGATTTGGTGCTGTGGTTGATTCGCAACATGCTTGGCACTCTCCACACTTCCATTCGCTTAGGCTGGACTGATGGCCACGTTTCCATGGAGCAAACGCACGGAAAAATCCCCAAGCAGTCTGTTTCTTTTGAGCTCCCTGGAAGTACAGGGCAATGGTTATGACCATTGCCTTTCTGTTCAGTTTCGTGACATTTCCTGATGGCTCTGGGTTTATTTTTTGACAGGGCCATCATGGACTCCTATCGAGTTTAACTAGGCTTAGCAGCGGGACGCCTTATTACCTAAACTCGGACCAGAATCCGATATGTGATTTTTGTGGGCCATCATGTTTGTTTTAAAAGGACACCGATCAAGTTCCTGGGCTATCACTGATGACCCAAAGGCTTTGGCCGTGTCTCAGCTCGCTTTCCTTCTGGATTCCTTTTTTGAGTCGCGAAAAGTAGCCTGCAAAGCCAAGCCCATTTTCCGG